CCAAATAATAAAAATCTTTTCTTGACTCAACCCATAGCCCAAAACATATTTTTCAATTTATATAGTTTAGGCTTACTACGTTTATTAATGACCGATTAAAATATTAATTGGTTTGAGCTAGACCAAACAATATAATACAAATATTGGCCTGGCCCACAACATCGATGATGATGAAATTTTTTTAATTCAGATATTACATTTATCAATGTCTAATTAAACATGAATTAGATCGGGTCGTATCAAACAACAGAAATCTAGGTCCAACATGACCATATCCCAGAATATAATTTTTCTTCAATTTATTTAATTAAGAATTATTATATTTATTAATTATGTATTTATTTTTACTGTAATAAGTTATGAGTTAAAAAAAATTTATTTAATTTTTTTTATTATAATTAGTATTTCTTTATGACTATTACCAGTATAAATTTTAAATTGTAATTTTAATTTAATACAAATAAAAATTATTATTATCATTAAAATAATTAATATTTTATAGGAAATCACTTTGTAATAGATTTATGTTAGTTTATATTTTAAAAAATGAATTAAATAATATACATACATATATATATATATATATATATATATATATATATATATATATATATATATATATATATATATATATATATATTACTTTTAGCCAAACCATAAAACGAAAATGGTTTGTAAAAAATGAATTATTTTTCAAAAATTATAGATGGAGAGAAGAGATTTGCCGATATTTGTTATAATTTAAAGTACATAAAAAATTAAATATTATTTTGGTAATTAATTAAAATAAATCCTTAAAATTATAATAATTTATAAATTATTAATGAGGTGACAGCATCCAGTAAGATTCGATATTGGCGATGCTGTATATAAAATATATATTGTATTATATCTAGAAAATTAAAGACTGAGTGGTGGCTAGGAATTATTGAAAATGCTTTTCAATATAATTTTCAAACACAGAGCCAATATATGTTTAGCTTAGTCAAGTGTCGCCGGGACTTGAGAGTGATCTGATGATGCGTTAGTTTCATGGCGGCTAAGCTGGGCGTCCGGGACAGACCTACAGCTGGTAAATTACGATTTGATTAGCATATGCCGTGGTGCATTACGATTTCGCTTCTCCAATAATCCAATTCTTTGTCCTTGTTCAAGGTGAACATACACATTTCAATATTTTGTTGGTGTAAACCACAATGTGGTCCGAGCCTTTCGCTGTTCGTCGAACTGTCCAGTTCATCACCCGATTCGCTTCTAGAGGTACAGAAACTGGTTCAAAGAGAATCGGGTGAGAATTAGACTTGAGTTATTCTGGAATTTTCCCCATAAAAAGAGCTCATTTGTCACTTGAGCTACCCTGTTGGGTTACATACATTTCAATATAATACAACATACTTTTCAAGATTATATCAATGTTCAAGACAACATATACCCAATTCTTGAAAAACATACACTTCTCAAATGCGGATCACGTGATTTTCTGGACAGCCCACCCCACTTAGTTTGTTAATGGAGGCGTCAGCCATGCATGCATATTTTCTTTAGCCCACCGCTGAAAATTATGGAATTTTCGACCACCTAAAAATAATCTTATATCAAGTTGAAAGTAAAAAATGGTCGGAAATAGCAATAAAAATTTTTCCGGATATCAAAAATGGTCGGAACAAGGCTTTCGACTTTGATTTAAAATCATTTTCAGTGGTCCGAAATTCCATAATTTCCTGCAGTGGCCACAGGCAAAGATGTAGGGATAGTCTATATATAACAGACACAGCCCATTATATTGCCATGCACAATTTAATTTGCCTTCAATTCATTCCGATCCCTCAATGGAACAACAACATTATCACGCCGCCACCTACGACATCGCCATCTTCGGAGCCTCTGGGTTTACCGGCAAATACGTTGTACGGGAGGCTCTCAAGTTCCTCAATGTACCCTCATCTCCATTGAACTCCCTCGCTTTAGTAGGCCGATCCCCCTCCAAAGTAGCCAAAGCTCTGCAATGGGCCTCCCATCCAAACCCACCGCCACAAATCCCCATCCTCACCGCCGACACCACCGACCCCTCTTCCCTTCGCCGGGTCGCCTCCCAGACAAAGATCATTCTCAACTGCGTTGGCCCTTTCCATCTCTACGGCGAGCCCGTCGTGGCGGCTTGTGTCGATGCCGGCTGCGATTACCTAGATATCACCGGAGAAATGGAGTTTGTAGAGAGAATGGAAGCTTCTTACCATGAAAAGGCTGCGAAGAAGGGTTCTCTGATCATTTCTGCCTGTGGGTATGATTCAGTTCCTGCTGTATTAGGCATGATGTTCAATTCAAGGCAGTGGGTTTCACCCGCTGCTCCTAATCGTGTGGAGGCTTACCTAAGTATGGAATCCGACAAAAGGCTCGTGCTAAACCTAGGAAGCTACGAGACTTCGGTTCTTGCCATGGCTAACAAGGACAAATTGCAGGAGTTGCGACGTTGTAGACCTCAAACACCTCAGCCCATGGTATCATTTTCTTTCCCTTCTTTGTATTTGTGTTACCATTTATATTTGCATATATTGTATCTAATTCAATTCTACTATTATATTAACATCAGATTCCTGGTCCGCCTCCCAAGGAATCTATTGTGGAACACCAAAAAGAGATTGGGTTTTGGAGTGTGGTGTTTCCATCATTGGATAAAATCGCAGTTGAGAGAATGGTGTCATGTTTAACTGAGAATCCTGAGGGTATACCGGGGGTCAATGAAACTGCTCAGCAATTTAAAAAGAGGGAGGCATTCTGGTCTACTGTGAAACCCCTTCACTTTGGTATGAATATGGCATCAAAATCAGTGTTGGGTGTAGTTCGTTTCATAACACTAGCGCTTTTGCTATGGATCTTTGGTAGATTTTCTACAGGGAAGTGGCTGCTCATGAAGTTTCCTGGTGTGTTTAGCTTTGGGCTTTTCAGGAAAAATGGTCCGACTGAAGAGGAGGTGGCAAGTGCTTCCTTCAAACTGTGGTTTGTTGGGCGTGGATATAGTGATGCTGCTCTCGCATCAAAAGAGGGCAAGAAACCCGATATGGAAATTATTACCAGAGTAACGGGACCTGAGGTTGGCTATTCCGCAACTCCCATCATTTTAATTCAATGTGCTCTAGTCTTGTTGAGCCAGCGTCATGAGTTGCCTAAAGGCGGAGTTTTTCTTCCTGGGATTATATTTGGCCCGACGGATCTTCAACAACGACTCCAACAAAATGGAATATCTTTCGATTTCATTTCGAAGAAAATGCTTTCCAACAAAATTTAGTCTTACTATATATGAATTCTTCATTTTTCATTTATTATTATTGTACTTTTGTGTGAGTTGTATGGTTAATAATTTGGCCTGGCCAGGATTTGGATCTTTGGTAAGGTATTATTATTGTTCAAAGAATAAAGTTAATGCCAGAAGTCATTGGGAATTTGCTTTCATCCTCAGCATTAGAAACTTCTGCATCTATATATGTCACCTTACAAGCACAAACAAAATGATTTTAGTTCAAAAGCAAGCAACTAAGTCATGCTCTGAAGATAATTCTTTTCTTACTTGGGATACTTAAATGAATATTATAGGAATATAAAATAAAGAACAAGAAATGGACATACATAGAGGGCTTGGTGTCACAAAGAACAGAGAGCTACGCTCATGAGCTTTCTTGAATAACCCTTTATATAGCAACAAACAAGCAAAATATATACTGAAACTATACACAATTATGCATTAAATTCAAATTCAATTGATATATTTTTTTCATTCTCATTGTAAATAGAAGAAAAAAAAAGTCAAAAGTTAAAAAGAAAATCCACAATTTTAAAGCATACCCATTATAGGATTTATTTATAGCTCCAATCATTATTGGGTGGACCATACTATCAAATAATGTATATTCAATATACAAATGATCTACTTTTACTATATTAAAAATGTATATTGTATTTAGAAAAAGTATATTATTTGAGTATTAAAAGTTTATTTATTTTGTATAATGTACATTTAATACACAAATAATATATTTTTAGTATATTAAATATGTATTTTTATTTTCAGAAAAAAATGTATTTTTTGTTATAAACCACATAGCACTGCGTGGACCATCCACACAAGTTTATATGCTAAACCCGTATTTATAAATGTTGAAATGTCCATCAAATAGATCGATACTAATAATTCTCACAAGAGAATAGTTTTCATATGAGTCAAGATATAGTTAAGGGGAGAGGAGAAGAAGGATATAGCTAATGAGTTTTGGGAACCCCTAAATTAGAAAGACAAAAGTGAAGATATCGAAATAAAGAAATTTATTATTGACAAGATGGTAGATTCCAATCAAAATGTTTGTAAAACTTGTGAAATTCAAAATATAATTGTCTAGAATGTATCACTTATAATTTTGAATATTTGATATACAATTCAGATATCGCCAATCAATCTGATGCGCAAATATTAGTATTATTTATCACTAGCATTTATATATTAAAAAAACGATTGAATTTCAATTAATTTTGTATTTTTGATTTATAAAATGACATGGAAAAAAAAGATTGTTACGAATACGTTTTTTATTTTTTCTACCGTCTCATTTTATCTATTCTGTTTACTATTCGATGACCAAATTGCCTATTTCTTTTCTCTTTAGTATTTTATTATTTTTAAATTTAATTTTGTATGTTTAATTGTAATTTTAATATAGTTTTTAAATATAAAAATTTTATATATTAATTATAAATTTAATAGTTAATATTATAAAAATAAACTAAAATTAATTTTAACCAATCCTTGTTATGGAGTATATTTTTTTAAAGTACTACTAACTCTATTACAATGTAACATCTATTCATAACTACTTTTTCAACATACTGAAACACAAAAAGTCAATACCCCCAATCTGAAACGCACAATTAAAATGAAAACAGTACAAAATGGAAATGAAAATGAAAATGAATTAAACGCAAATTTCAATATCCTAAAATGCTTATGCGATGCCGTTTTACACTTTCAACCCGGCGAAGTATAAACCAATCTCCTCCGTCGTCCTCACATTTTCTCAGCGTCGATAGCGGTGGCCATGAGTGCATGCAAAACCCTAGTCCGTACATCACTGTCCTGTCTACAATGCAAAGCTCGAGTCTTCGCTTTTCCATTAAAGTTCCCTTCGTTCTCCCCTCATCTCTGCCGGCTTCTTTCTCCTTCTCGAAGGTCCTTTATCCTATACCGAAATCCAGGTATATATGTACAAGCATATCTGTTACGTTTCATTTGCTTATGCGTTCATAAATATGAACCAAGTCTAATAAGCTCAGTAAATTTGTTGTTCAAATTACATTTAAGTAAATATTGATTGATGTATTTGTAATTCGACTGATTTTAAATTTGTAGGGTCTAGAATTGAACCTCATAGTGCGATTGTAAGGCGTTATGGCTGCAGTGAGGCTGCAATTTCACTAGAAACCGATAATAACACTGAAGAAAGTTCGGCTCAGAAGACTAACCTTCAAGTTCAGGAAGACTTGTGTAGGGACACTGTGGAAGAATTGCTTACCAAACGGAATGATGTTTCGAGGTTTATGAAAATGGAGCGGAGGCAGGAAGTGGAAGGTGATGTTCAACTGGACCGTTGGTTTCCATACTTGGATAAATTTAAAGTGGGAAGTATGTGTCTGAGCAGTAGTGAGGTACTGGAAGCTATGGATCCCTACGTAATGGAGGCGAGGAAGGAAAGGTTTCGGAAAGCAGTGAAGAACAGGACTTATTCTGTTTGTTTGGTAGTTGAGGGATTGAGTGATTTTGGCAATGTCTCTGCTGCATTTCGCTCGGCAGATGCACTGGGGTTTCAGTCTGTCCATGTCGTTTCCTGCAACAGCTCAAAAAGGTGCAAGGCCACTTGAGGTGAAAATGCCTTTTGAGTTTTTATCAAATCAATGGGTTGATATTTGTTGTCTCCAATTTCTACTAGCTTCAACTGTATTTATGCTTGATAGAGAATGTTAGTGTGACATTTGAGTGATGAGAGAGATTTAGATATATATATGTTAGCTTGCATTTGTCTTGTTATTATAATGTCGGATGGCTCTTCCACCAAGATAATTATGGTGATTGTAAAAAGTTATAAAACTCTAGATTAATACAACCATGGTAAGACCAACAATGCTGTAAGTTTTACAGGCATATTGAGGTTCTCAAATAATACGAGTATATACTTCTGCACCAAAGTTGGTCCATAAAGTTGGCATGCTTTGGTTGCTCTTGCTAATGAAGAGAAATTCCATTGCTCTCCTCATTAACTCTTTAAATGAATCCCATTTTTTCAGGTACAGGGACAATCGTCATGTCAGTATGGGGGCAGAGAAATGGTTGGATATTGAACTCTGGGATTCTCCCTATGAATGCTTCAAAGTTTTGAAGTCACGTGGTTATCGCATTGCTACAACACATGTGGGAATGGATGCAGTACAGTTTCTACTTCTATTTTATATAGTTCTTTTTCAGTCACGTGTTGTACTACAGACAATTTCCTGATAATGGAATGGATGTATATATATTGTATGTCTGCACAAGTCTTTTTGTAATCAATTTTCATGCTCTTTAGGTCTCAGTATATGATATGGACTGGTCATGCCCTACTGCAGTTGTTGTTGGAAATGAGAATAGGTAATCTTAATTCCCTACTTTAGTGTATGCAGTTCACTGGGATCAGTTTGTGAGAAAGTTTCTGTCCGGTATATTCGATGTCTTTATTTGGGTGATATTGTTAACTGTCATAGCCTTATTTTAGTCATATTTATGTGATGCTAAATTAGCATATTTTGGTTCTGAAGCATATAATTTTAAGAACTCTGTTCTTGAATCCTATGAGTTGACTAGTCTTGAGTAGGCTATGCTTTTCTTTTCCAGATGTCTCAAATCATGCTGCAACTTGGTAAATGAAATTGTAATTGCAGGGGAATAAGCGATGAGGCTCTTGAATTGTCAGATATGCACTGCAGTATTCCAATGAAAGGCATGGTAGACTCCTTCAATGTTTCAGTAGCTGCAGGAATTCTTATGCACCATGCTGTGTGTGACAGAACTTCCCGCATGGTAGGGATTTTATTAAGAGCAATTCTGCTATTTGGTAAACATAAAAAAGATTGCTTTTTTTTTTTTTTGCTGAATGATACTCGTTTTATTGTTTGATTAGTTTGTGTTTTCCCTGCTTAAAAAGTAGTATCCATGCCATTGCCTGCATAAAGTCTCTCTCAAGTCCGCACAGTTAAATTTGCAGCTTACTGTGAATGTGCAGCTTCTTTTCTTTACAAACCAAAATTCAATGGCTGGAAATAAATTTTACACATGAAAAGAATGAACCTTCTTTAGTTATTTCACTTTGAATTGCACCCACTGACAGAACTGGTATAGTTTTGTTACACACTTACACTTGTGATTCAAATCATCAGAATTTGAAATTTCTTATTTAGTTCTTTTTCCTTTTCTCATTCTGCGGGGTAAGGGATGCCATGGGGACCTAACACTGGAAGAGAGCCAAATTTTGCTAGCAGAATTCTCGTTACGCCACAGCAATACTGCAATAAGCATTGTCAATGAATATGCAAAACGAAAGATAGACAATCTGATGCCAAAGCTCTGAATGAAGTGCTGTACTACACAGACCATTATTGCTGAAAACCATGAGGGTACTATGCTCCAACTCTGCATTTCTGTATTCTTTCCTAGGTTGTACTTTATACCTTTTTGTAGGTTGTGTTCCAAGGCATTAATATTTTTGAAAAGATGCTGCTTATGTATCATGTACGGAGTAATAATCTTTTAAAGATTGATATGTATTTTAGGCAGTCTAGTCTCAGACAATACGTTTTGTTTTTGCATATCTTCTGTTGGTTTTAAAGTGGTTCTTGTGAATTGCCAGCTTGGTTGGCGTGAGTAGTTCACTCTCAGTACTTGTATAAGTGTTGTCTTTTTATCCGGCAAAATATTATTCTTCTAGAAGTGAGTTATTGGCTTTCTAAGGGGAATTGCTAATTTGCTATTTCTACAAGTGCCTGATATTAAACTATTCTTATATTCTCAAGAATAGCTTTCTTATCTAATATACAAAAATTCCCTCTTTTTAATTATAACTTAAATAAATATTATACACACATATATGCAATACATACGTTGGTGGTTATCTTGCCTTCACTTTGCAGGTATTTACTTTTTTCATGCAAACTTTTCTTGTCAAATATGCAAACTATTACTGTGTTGTAGGTTATATTTTTTAGGTGGGATATTTTGTGGCCATTCCCAACTTGTGGACTACAAATTTGCTAGATTATTCCATTTCTTCTGATCATCAAACATTATTGTTAATAACTTGCAACTATATTGAAGGACTCAGCTGGCCTTCATCTTAAGAGATTGTCCAGTGTTGGTCTCACTCATATCCATCTGGCAAGTAGGTTTGCCAACTTATGGCTAGAAAAATAAGAGATCAAGAAAATCGGCTCAGATAATGGGAAAAATAAAAACAAAAAAGTGATGAGACGAAAATATCTTTACCTAAAACGGAGTTTCGTTGAAAAAGTTTTCGGAATAACTAAACGTGTTCAAAATATGATAGTTTGGGGTGTAAACGAAACAAGAGATCTCTACTGGAATTAATTCTTATTTTGCGTATAAATAGTCATGTTTACATGCATGGCAAGGACATATATATTTTCCTTAAAATAAAAATTAAGAAATTTAGAGTTAATTTATTTACCCTCGTGATTAAATTTAGAATTAATTTTAGCAAAGGTTATGCGACTATAGTGATTTTTTATATTTGGTCATCGTATTTTAATTTGGACAATTGACACTTGACTATCAAAATCTGTATTAACCATTTGTCCTTTCGTCACCTAAGCCTTATTTAGACATCAATTTTTTTTAGAGGTAAAATCGTCATTTCATTGCTTGGTTGTCTTTCCTCATCATAAAGTTAGTGCACTCGAACCCTAACGTGGCGGCCAAGATCATCTGCACGTAGTTGGCGACATCATAGGGGCTTTTCCCCGACGAGCACGTTGCTTCTGCCGGCAACTGGTTCAAAAACGTGACCTTGTAAACCAGTCTAGGGTTCATGAAGAAGATGGGGTCCATGTCTTTCGATCCCCTCGTGGTGGTTGTGTGGAAGAACCTGACCCAAGTGTTCATGGCGGCGGGGACGATCCGGTCGGTTAATTCGGCAAAAAGTGTGCTGAATCGTAATAGAAACGGTTCTCTGCAAGTGTTGTCCCTTCGGGACAAATGACGACATCGCCTTTCTCGAGCTTGTGCGTGATCATCTCGGCGTCAGCCGGAGGTTGGGGATCGGCGAGAGGATTTCAGATAATCGTGAAATGGAGTAAGTCACGGCCTGGATTTTGCGCTAGAGAATGGCATGTCCAGGAGTTTGGACCGATTGGCTTGAGAAGACAATCCAGGCAATGAAAGGACGATTTTACCTCTAAAATTGATGTCTAAATAAAGCTTAGGTGACAAAATGACTAATGGTGAAAAGATTTTGATAGTCAAGTGTCAAATTTGTCCAAATTAAAAGACGAGTACTAAATGTGAAAAATCATTATAGTTAGAGGACCTTTACTGGAATTAACTCTTGAATTTATCAAGCAACCAAATTCAATTGTTACACCATAAGAAACTTTTAAGGAGAGAATCTATTTTATGCCTTGAAAGTGTTATCCAATTTTTTATCCTCTTAATCTTTTTTCTTATCCGAGAAAAATATCCAATAAAGCATCATTAACCAAACCAAGGCATACGTGATACATAAAATAATAAAAGAGTCCAAAGATTTTATCATTTATCATTTATGACACAAAATTTGCATTGCGAATCGCCAAAAGAAAGAAGGGTGGGTTTGAATTAATGAGTCCTTTAGTTACGCCATATTAATCTCAAATAAGCGGCGGTGAAAAATCGAAACCAAAATAAACAAGGAACAGAGAACAGTTGTGTAAAGGAGATGAATATGATAGATGGTTGATGGAGACCATCGACTTTTCATTTTGGCCACCTTAAAACATTCATTGCACGCGGGTTAGCCAATTAGGTTGTCTGATAATACAACATATCCCCAAACGCTTTTTGGTCCAAGAATCCGACGTTACGTTGTCAAGATTCTTGGACCATTTTCGCAACCTCAATTTGTTTGTTTCAACTCATACGGAATTCGCAGCTTCAATTCCACAATCCACCATTCTTCATTCCCAATTGGCCCCACGGACCTCTATGTTCACAGGTATATTTGTTGTTTCTGAATTGTATTACACCAGTTTGTCTTATATAAGGATTAGAAATATGAGTCTGTCTCATATAAATACATTGGTTGTATCTCTAAGGTGTTAAATAGTTTCACTCCTGTAGACCTATGCATATTGTCAAACTACATAAATTTTAAGTCTTGCCTTTTTTACTTTCTGACATTATTGTTGTTTCAAATTTAAGACAATGGGGCTAAGGTTGGGAAAACAGGGGCAAAAGAAAGCTGCACCGGCATCACAATTGAGCTACATCCATGCCCAACAAGACCTCGTAAAATTTCTCTTCACGAGTTGTTACATTCGAAACTTGGTCTCGAAGCAGAGAAGGCGATTGCTCGTCGGAGGTTATGATCTGGACATGACATACATAACCGACAGGCTTCTGGCGATGTCGTTTCCGGCAGAACACATGCGAGCAATGTACCGGAACCCTTTGTGGCAGGTTAAATCCGTGCTGGATATGAGACATTCAGGACATTATAAGGTCACTAAATAGTACTTTTTATTCTTCGTTATGGTGCTGATGAATTAACTGACCCCACCACCTGATTAGATTTCTCCGGCCTGTTTGCATCTTGTAGGTCTATAACTTGTGTATCGAACAAAGTTATGACCCGACGCATTTTCATGGTCGCGTTGAGAGGTATCCATTTGATGATAACCATGTCCCACCTCTCCAAATGGTCAAGGAATTTTGTGAGGATGTCCATTCTTGGTTGTCAAATGACCCAAAGAACATTGCTGTCATACATTGCATGGTAACACTCACTACCTTAGCTTAGGTTGTTCCTTCTCAAGAATCAATCACTAATGAATCTTTGATCTGGTTTGCAGGCTGGAAAAGGTCGAACTGGATTAATGGTATGTGCATACCTAGTTTACACCGGCATGTCAGCCGAGGAAGCTCTGCAAGTCTATGCAGATAAGAGAACTACCAACAACCATGGAGTATGTGTTCCATCTCAACTAAAAGTCTGTTTGTTTATATATTATGTGCTCAACAAATCCTTCAAAGGGATTGGTCTCTCTTTGATATTAAATTAAAGCTGTTTTCCATCTCAACTAAAAGTCTAAGCTGATAGTTGAATTGAACAGGTTTCAATACCAAGCCAGCGTCGTTATGTTGAGTACTGGGAGAAAGTACTTTCCTTCCCAGATAGGGTTGATCGTGGCCTTCCAGATGTGAATTTGCCCAAACCATGCGCTAGAGAGCTTCGTCGCATTCGATTATATGATACAGTAAATGTTGATTCTATCTTCTTTGTGGTCTCTGAGCTGCAAAATGTAAGTAATTTAATTTCTACATATCTTTCTATGGAGTTTATTCTTGTATGTATATCACAAATAATATATGTATAAATAATAGATTCCTGGAGAGAGATATTGCCCGCCTGTAGAAGTGTCTAAGAGTTGTTGCAGGGGAAATAAGAATGAGTTCCATAGGCCCAATAGCCCTCGTTATTATTACTCGTTTCTGGAAGGCAATGAAGAAGAAGATGAAGTAGAAGAAGAAAAAGAACCTCGTTTGGTTATCCAAATGGACACAGAAAGCTCCATGCTCTACCAGAAAACCTGCCTTGACTACTATTATGAAACCCCTTTGCAAGTAAGATACCCTATCCAACGGCTAAGCTAATAGTTGTATTGCACATTTATATTTATGTATTATATATATGCTCAACCTGTCTTCTCACAGCATGTGTTTCATCTTAACTAAAAGTCTAATATAATAATTGGATTGTACATTTATATTTATATATTGCTCAATATCTGTTGAACAGGTCACTGGAGATGTCCGTATAATATTCTACGAGAAGCTTATCGGAGGGCGTCTCTTTTATGCATGCTTCAACACATCATTTATAAAGAGCGGCCTGCTACAAGTATGCATCTATTGTACTGTCTAGGTGTAATTCTGTAGATACATAATATATTAACTGTAAATATATTAATGTTTATAATTAAAATGATCAGTTTTCTCTGAGGGAGCTGGACAAAGTTGGAAAGAAGGGAAAGTCAATCTGCGGGCCAGCATTTTGCGTGGAGTTGATCTTCGGGCCGGCAAACCCAAGCATCTTGATGAAGAAGGATGATGATATATAAAAACACTACACTACACTACACTACGTGCATTCTATTCTAATTTCTTCATGGCTTTGAGACCTCCAAGATTTTTGTATGTATATATACTACTAAAGAAGTACAGTATGGCTTTGAGGCCTCCAACTTTTTTGTATGTATATATACTACTAAAAACTGTAAATATGTGATTATGATAATGAAGCCAGTGCTCCGATGATCCTTTCTGTAACAGGGCGTTTGGTTGGAGGGATTTTAAATTCCCTTCCCACTTAATTCTCACATAATTCCAAAGACCATTAAATTCCGTAGTTTGGTTAGAGGGAATTGCAATTCCCCCATTTTCATGGAATTAAAATCCCATGTCCCCCCCCCCCTGGTATTTTAATTCCTGGGAAAAAAAGATAGTGATGAGTCAAAATTACCCATTCCTTTTTAACCTAAAATTAATGTCTAACAACAATAATGGACATTTTTGACTTTATACTACTAATTCCCTTTCAATTCCCATGTATACCAAACATTGGAATTGAAATTCCCAGTAATTCTATTCCTGTCAACCAAACACTGGAATTTAAATTCCCACTTTATTCCCAGTAATTCAACTCCCATAGAATTACAATTCCTTTCCCACATAATTCCCCCCTCCAACCAAACGCCCTGTAAGTATTATGGGGAAAGATTTGTATAAAAATTTACTCTCTTCTCTTTACCATTTGCCCTCGTCTCCAACTCTCCATGGATTAATCTAATCATAGATAGAAGATTAGGATTTCTTTTTGTACTTATATTAGATAGATAGATACAACTCAATGCCATTAATTTAATTTAATAGAAACTTCACATCTTAATTAGCTCATTCCATCATAATTCACTTCACTTTATAATTAATAATTAATAATTAATAGAATAAGGTTCAAATTGGCCACCAAACGTAATCTGAAAATGCAATTAGGCCACTGAACGAAAAAAGTGCAATTAGACCACTTAACACTCTAAAAAAGTGCAATTAGGCCACTGAACATTCCAAAAACATGCAATTTCACCGGATAGCAGGAACACTCCAATTTCACCGAATAGCAGGTTACCATCAATTTTAACAGGTTACCTACTAACGTGACAGCTGAGTTAGCGTTTTTTAATAATTTTTAATAATAAATTTTAAAAAAATTTGAAAATAAAATAAAATAAAACGACAGGCTGGCCAACTGTTTTTTTTTTTAAATATAAATTTATTATTAAAATTTACTTGGAAAACAATGTATTTATTGAAGTTTTTGAAAAGAAAAAAAAAAGAATTTATTTAAGTACAGAGTACCTTTTATTGCCATCAAACAATATCACAATGATCCTAAAACCTTAATAATATCAACCTTAACCAATCGAAAATTAAAAATGAGGAAAACAAAGAATAATATATCACTCAAGGTGGTCGTGTGGTCTGATTGACAAGAACATCGCGGCATACTGCCGGAGCCGTCGATCGCCGTCGTCTGCATTTTCCGGCACAGTATTAGGCTGACCTCTAGTCCTGAGCCTGTAGCGCCGCCACGCCAACTGCACATTCACGGCGGCCCAGGTTCTCCAGTTGGCGGAGTAATACCTTGCCGTCCGCTTAAGCCTCTCGTTGGCAAATTTGTACCTGAAGTGATCGGTGATGAAGCGGAGGTGGTTGGCGTCAAGGCCGAAGGCTTCAGTGGAGTCGATGCAGGTAAATGTGGCGGAGGAAGCCGGAAGCCTGTCGATGAAGGGGCGGCGGAGACACCATGAGAGAAGCTCATCGCCTAAGAAGCCTCCTGGTTCGAGGATGCTTGTGGCCACCACCCCTTTGCTAAGGTTTTGGCTGCTTTTTACACGGCCCCGGACTATGAACACCACTCGTTGCACCGGATCTCCTTCTCTTATTATCTGTTTTAGTTTGGTACCAAAACACAAATGTGAAAATTAAGGTGGTTTCAAGCAATACAATATGGATTCCATAAATATACTTATGGAGTTAATGATATCTATGGTCCTCTCTAAATTTTGCCTCATTCAGTTTTAAACTTTCGAATTAATCAATTCTTTAACTTTAAAGTTAATCATGCCTGATCCTTAATAACTTTCAAATTTTAACTACATGATCTTTCAATTTTTAAATTTTAACTAACTGTGGTTCATCTTAAAAAGACGACTTTGCCCTTTACACGACCTAAATGACTAAAACTAACTTTCAAATTTTAACTATGGAGTTTTTTTTTTTTTAATCCTTTTTGGTCTCACAAGTATTGTGACACTAACCATGTGAATCCACACCTTTTAACACTTGCATAATTGGTCCATGAGTATCAATTTTTTTTAGCAAAAAATGGTCCTTCCGGTGACATTTCCAACAATTTTTCACCGAAAATTGGCTTACTTCTGGTGAAAAATTGCTGAAAATGTCCCCGGAAGGACCATGTTTGCTAAAAAATTGATACTCATAGACCAATTATGCAAGATTTGAAAGTTTGAGATTCATATTTTTAGTGCCAAAAATTTCGTGGGACCAAAAGTGTAAAATACTCTTTTAATTAACTAGCTATAGTCCTTCAACTTTCAAATTTTAATCAATTGTGATCATTTTGAAAAGACGATTTTGCCCTCACTTTGCACGACCTAAATGGCTAAAACTAACTTTTAAATTTTAACAATAGTGATTCTTTTAACTTTCAAATTTTAACTAACTGTGGTCCTTCGGAAGACGAATTTGCTCCTACTTTACACGGTACGGCTAAAACTATCGAAAAGACCACTGCTGGTTAAAATTTAAAAATTAAAGAACTAGGAATGTGTTTAAGTTTAGAACTAAATGTGTCAAAACCATTATATTCGGATAGGAAGAGTGCAGATGACATTAACTGATATATTATGGCAATGAAAACTTTGTATACCTTCTCATCTTTGGAGAAGACTAGCGGCTTAATGCGGTCGCAGATGTTGTCAAGAATGAGATCGTCCAAACTGTGGAACAGAGGCACCTGAAATTGATACATACAAGAAGCTCTAGGTTGGTAGGTAGGTGAAGTACAGTGTAGGAAGATTCAATTCCGATCCTGGCTAATGGCTATATATCAGAGGTATAGATGAGAGGTATGGTACCTTTTTGATGAGATCGAGGCAGAGGAATCGTTTAATGTCTCGTCGAAGCCCTTCCGGCAAGTCTTTAATCAATTCCATCTCGTCTTCCCCACCCATGGCTGCCCATCTTTGGCGTTCAAAGTAGCGCACTCTCTGTCTCAAGTTTGACGGCAGCTGTCTTCTCTTCATCCACCATTCCATATCTCGACACCTTAGTTGCATTTTCCTCTTCTTTGCCATCACCGCGTGCAGAAATACCTTCGCAACATGGACACTACGTTAAGGCTACAACTTCAAGCCAAATCAAGTTTCATGACATGACATTGTTATAAGCAGATGTAGAACTATTGAGCGGAAGTCTGAAGGGTCAAATCCAGTATGGTTGCTAAAGAATGATTAGATTGAAGGGTCAAATCCAGTATCAAATGGTTAGGGGATCGTCGAATGAGGATTTGAAGGGTTAAGTTCAGCAATAAGTGACTAAGGACTTGTTGGGTCGGGCCTAAAGGGTCAAGTCCAATATCAAGTGACTAAGAGAATGTTGTGCATGAACTTGAAGGGTCGAGTCAAGTCTAGCAGGTGTCTAGGGAATTGTTAGGCGAGACTTGAAGGACTAAGTTTACCACTTTACCTTTTGAAAATGTGGCATTGACGGTTAAGCAGATATAAAGAAATAAAGTTGAATCTTTGCTATAACTTTTATTGTAGTGGCAAACTCTTATTTTAACAACACGTACTGTAACATACCTTAAAGGTAAAGTTCAGCACATGGTTAGGGAATTGTTGGTCGAGGACTTAAGTGTTAAGTTCAACACCATGTGTCTAAGGGGTTATCGGGCAGGATCTAAAGGATCAAGTTCAACACTATGTGGCTAGGGGATTGTTAAGTAGGGACTTGAAAGGTATGTCTAGCACCAGGTGATTACGTGATTGTTAGACAGGGCTTGAAGGACCAAATTCAGCACGTTGCATTTCAAAAAATGTGGTGTTGTCTTTGCTACTATTATAACTTTTGACATAACAGTAAATGTTTAATCCTAACAAGAAGGTATTGTAATGTAGCATACATACCTGAATGTTTCCGATCAAGAGTGTGAACAACATTAACCCACTAAGCACAATGCAAATGCTGAAGATGACTTCCAACCAGTTACTAGTGGGTTCCAAATCATTCCCAAACGTGCTGAGAGTCATGAGCCCCCAGAAGATGGGATAAAGAATCTTGACAGCAATGGAGCGGCTAGACACGACGGGGAGAGCCCATTTGTATATCCCAAACCGGAATGGCCCATTCACATCCAAGCACAATGGCTTCCTCATCAGTGCCGCCGCCGTTGAGTTACCGGCACAAGAATTCCCTTCAACGCCGCCTGGCAGTAGAAGCTCGTAGCATACCTCCTCCGAGCACGACAACCGGAGATTGCACGTACTTTTCTGATAATGACACCGCTGCCTAAGGCATGAAGCCACTCTTTGAATCGCAAGAACATACCAGCAACCCCCAGCAACCTATCAATATTATATTATCATTTCAGAAACTAACCTAAACTTGAGAACTGCGAACTTCTGAAGAATTGCACCGCAACTATAACATGATTGCATTGTTACAGTTCTCAGACTCGTATCTGGGTACAGTACAATCATATAGTAAGTGTAGTGCAATCCTTCATAAGTTTGCAGTTCGGGTTGGTTCTCACCTGAATGCAAATATTATGTAGTAGAAGCTAATTAAGAAGCAGAGATGATAGCTTACATGGGAAGCAATGAAGTAAGCTATGAGGTTGAGGCAAAAGCCCCACCAAATGGTTCCAAAAATATAGCCTGTCACCTTCTGCATTCTTCTCATCAAGTATATGCTATGGTAGATTCTTGGGAGGAATTGGAACAAGAAGATAAGAAGAAGAATTGTCATTATGAGCTTCACCTGCTCCTCCCTTATCAATTTTGGTACCACCAACCAAAACACTGCCTGCATAACATACATACATACCAAATCATTTATTTTATTTTTTGGAAATTCTAAAATTAATTTCCAAAAGTCATTTTTCAAAATTTTCAGGCTACTAAAATAAAATGAAATCAACGAAAAAAAGACCGAATTTTAACATAGATGACATTTTCTTGGATTTCTATCTCAGGATTAGTTCTTTCCCTCCCTCTAAGCTAAGCATTGTCAAATGGTTGGGTTTGATCTCAAATTTGATCCGCCCCCACCATTGCAGTCCAAATAGTCAATATCCCACCACCGGGGGTTCGATCTTGTGACTTTCCATCAAAGAGAGGAGAGCCACAGATGTGTCATCTGAGCACAGTGTACTTGACTAAAATAACAACCGATTAAAATTAAATATGAATTGAATTATACTAGACTAAACAATAAAGACATCGATCTGGCCCACAACCCAAAAAAAAATCATTTTTTATTCAATTTCTCTAGTTCACAGTTATTTTTACCAATTTCTTATTAAAAATGAGTCGAGTCGGGTCAAGCTGAGACAAACAATAAAAATCTTAACCCAATTCCACTCACACCTCAAAAATTAAAATTTTCATTCAATTTTTTTTTAATCTCAAAATTATTATATCACTACTGAAAATTATGGAATTTCCGACCACCTGAAAATGATCTTAAATTAAGTCGAAAGCCTTGTTCCGACCACTTTTGATATCTGAAAAATCTTTGTTGTTATTTTTAACCACTTTTTGCTTTCGACTTGATATAAGATCACTTTCAAGTGGTCGGAAATTTCATAATTTCTAGCAGTGTATTTATTTATCAACATAAAAACTTCCAACCAAATCACAAGGATTGATATATATATATATATAATCGCACTCAGGTGCGAATGCTTCGCCCAGGCGCGAAATAAGAATGAATTCTGTTCGTCCACGTGTCCAGATCTAATGGATGAGAAACACTGATTTTTTAAAAAAACGCGGTGACATTTTCGTAAATAATTGGACATCGAAGTGCAAGTAAAATGTATTACAAGTGCATGTAAAATGTATTATAGGTGCAAGTAAAAATTTACACTGAGCATCAATACTTAGTTGCACCTATAGTTCTAAGTAGTTGCACTTATAGTTCTAAGTAGTTGCACACATAGTTATAAGTAGTTGCACCTAGGTGTATGAATGTTTGCGAGTGGTTTTCAGGGGTATTACTACCCGCTGAACTCAGATCAATGAATGTTAACAAGGCAAAATTACATGCACTTATAGGTGAAAGTAGGTGCACTTATAGTTATAAGTAGTTGCACCTATAGTTATAAATAGTTGCACATATAGTTATAAGCACACCCAGGTGCATGAATGTTTGCGGAAAGTGAATGCTAACAAGGCAAAATTACATGCACTTATAGGTGAAAGTAGGTACACCTATAGTTATAAGTAGTTGCACCTATAGTTATAAATAGTTGCACATATAGTTATAAGCACACCCAGGTGCATGAATGTTTGCGGAAAGTGAATGCTAACAAGGCAAAATTACATGCACTTATAGGTGAAAGTAGGTGCACTTGTAAGTGATTTTACTTGCACTTCGATGTTCAATTATTTACGAAAATGCCACCGCGTTTTTTTTTTAAGTTATTAGATCTGGACACGTGTCGCGCGCTGATTCGTTCGCATTTCCCTCCTGAGCACTTATTCGCACCTGAGTGCATCCATATATATATATATATATATACTTTGAACAGAACTCTATAAAATAAAAAATATTTCTGAAAAATACTTGCAAACGGACCCTTAATTACATTAAATCATACAAAGTTGCAATTTATTCGATCATAACAAGTATATATATAATTGTTGAGAAAAATCCCTAAAATACCTAACGTACTGTAGTTCCAGAAATAAAATTACATCTAGTTAACTTGGTAACATGTTTGTTCTTAACTACGTAAAACCATCCCGTCAGAGATTGAACCCGACCATAACTTTCTATTTAAGAAAATCACTCCATACCACTAGACCACAAAATTGCTTGTATTATTAAATATAACAACTTTTAAATTGTATTTACTTATTATTATTAGTAGACAGTTAATTATTGGTGTAATGTGTAACACTTTTAATACCATTTTGGCAATCATTTGATGCTTTACGAATTACGTCGACCACCTACACTGCTAAGCATGTGATTGTTTGATTTAACCAAAAAAAAAAAAAAGAGATTCTTATCATCCTATGTGCTTTTGGACTATGTGGGGTTTCATTCTTAATTAATCAAAGATATTCTGATTAAGTGTGTTAAATAATTATGTGTTTCCAATATACTCCATATGAAAGTACTCTTGATAAAAATTTGAAACTCAAGCTTTTTAGGTTTACCAGGACTATGTGGTCTAATGGTACCCGGGTTGGACTTTCATTTGGAAGATTATGAGTTCGAGCCTCAGTAGAGGTGTTATTGGTTCTTTGTGTTTCAGTAGGTTGAGAAAGTATATGAACAGATACTACAATGTAATAGAACCAGTAACTTTCAAAAAAAAAAAAAAGCTTTTTAGGTTTAATATCACTTTTGGTCTATCAATTAAAATCTCATTTCTACTTTTAGTTTTTGATTATCAATTCGATGACTTTTGATCTGTTAACTTTTTAATAGTGATCAAACTAAAATTGAAAATATCATCAGTATAGTTAAAAGATTAAAACAATTCAATAATTACTACGGAGTAATATTTAATAAAGGGTTCTCAAACTTATCCATTCATACGAGTCTCACTTGACCAAAGAAAATTTCTATATCTAGATTCTATTATTATTATTATTATTATTATTATTATTATTATTATTATTATTATTATTATTATTTTGATAAATTATTATTATTATTATTATTATTATTATTATTATTATTATTATTATGGAAACTCAATAGGCAATAGCACAATTGTTGATTACAAGCGTTGGCAGCCCACATAGGTCCAAACGGTAAATTTTTCTGTATACTCCATACAACAGTATCAACCATGAATATAATGTATATTTTTAATATATTAAAAATATATTATTTGTGTATTAAATATACATTATTTTTAATATACTAAAAGTACATTATCTATGTACTAAATGCACATTATTTAATAATATACAAAATAACATATACTTCTAGTACATAAATAAATAATATACTTTTAAATAATTGTTTTATGTAAATAAATAATATATATTTTTTATTTATGGTCCATATCACTAATGATGAGGTAAACTATCCATTCAATTGATTGTTTTTTTAATCAGCTGTGACTGTTATTGAATTTGAGTTTAATTATTGGTATTTAAAAATTAAAAGCATATAAATATACGTAAGCTGACCTGAGGAATGGGAAGAATGACGAAAGCATCGAACCAGAAGCCTTTGAGGGAGCGGACGTAGTGTGAGGCAACCGCACGCGCGTCCCAGACGAGTTTGCCGCAGCCGACGACGAGGGACTCCCTTGACACGTAGGCAAGGCGGAACTGGAGCCAGAGGTGGCAGATGTGGACGGCGTCGAGGCACGTGCGGAGGACGGTGACGATGGCTGCCAAGCCGCCGTCCATGTAGAGGCAGGGGGTCCCACTCCGGCCGATGGATAAGGCGTAGAAGAAGAGAGGGTCGATGGCCAAGGCCATTCCACGCGCCAGCAAGAACGCCCGGTTCCACCGCTGCACGCGCTTGCTACGGGGGTCCAACACCCGCCCGAACGGCCCCGAGCGGTGGAAATCTTGGGTGGAGCGATGAGTGACGGAACCGGGGCGGTTCTTGATGGGAATTAGCGACGAACCGGCCGACGCCTCCCACTCCGGCTGGTGAGCATTGTCGCAACTTGTGGAGTGGAAAACCGGAACACCAACCTGCGTGCACGCGTAACATTCCGTCGAGATAAAGTTGGGGTTTTCGTCGTAGGTGTCGTCGCTGTTGTCCGGTTGAACTGATTTTCGTCGCAATATCGTCCCAAACCACCTAATTAAACACACATAACAAATACATCACTATATATCATATCATAAAACAATAATTCAATAAATAAAGATGGCCGGCCGGCGGCCGGGAACAAGAAACAGATATATAAGATGATCGAAACTAACCTTGAGAGGGAGAAGTGGAGGCCTGGATAAGAAGGCATCTTGGGAGGAGGGAAACCATAGGGATGGGAGATCAGAGAATTAAGAACAGTATGTTTTGTATTGAGCAACCAACCAGCTGGAACATAGATCAGACGAGCTGAGAGAGAAAGTGTATGTGTGGCACTGGCAACTTATATTAGCTACAAGAACGAAGAGTATAAATTATGGTATATATCACATATATATGAATTATTGCTGTACTGATATATACCTGATTACCTGTGGCCTCACAGTTTTGACAGGGTGCTCGACCTGACCCTTCAGAGTTCAGACCTCCATCCAACAATCCTCTAATAATTATCTAGTACTCGACTTGTCTCTTTATCAACTCCCACCCAATAATTCCCCAATCACCTAGGGCTAGACTTGTCCCAACTCTTCACCAGCCTCCGTCCATAATCTCTTAACCTCGACTTGTCCATTCACCTACTTCCGCCCAATAATTCCCTAATCACCTGGTGCTAGACTTGTCCCTTCACTGGCCTCGGCCTAATAATCCCCTAATCACCTGGTTCTCGGCTTACCCCTTCACCAGCCTCAACCCAATAATCCCGTAACCGCCTGGTACTTGGACTTGCCCGTTCACCAGCCTCGGCCTAATAATCTCCTAATCACCTGGTGCTCGACTTGTTCTTTCACCAGCCTCGACCTAATAATCACTAACTACCTGGTGCTCTATTTGTCTCTTTACTCGCCTCCGTCCAATAATTCTTTAATCACTTGGTGCTCCACGTGACCCTTCACCCCGCCTCCGCCTAACATGTTATAAAAGTAAATAAATTGAAGTTGGTTATTATTGATAAGCCAAGCGGCCGCAGATGAGAAAAGGTTGTGGAGAGGAGAAGAGATGGGCCAGGAAGTTTGTTTGGGCATGTCGTGCAAGTAGAAGAGCACATGGAAGGGAGTGTACGTACGTGGTGGTGGCGATAAGGAGGAAAACTCATTACGGAACGTCAAGCTAAGCATTGTGGGGACTACTGCAACTACATCTATCCTGGGGTCCATTTCAGATCCATCGGTTTCCAACTTTGTAGTAAAATCTTTACATACATCATGTGAACTGTGAACTCATAATTGGAAAAAGCCATATTACTTTACCCTGACACTCTAGACCACAGCAATAATGATACTAATCATCATAATATCTCACCTAAATATATATATAAATATATGCATATACCAACACGTTTCCCTATGCTAAACTAATTTAATAAACTAAACAAGTTTAATTAATTTGAGTTAGGTTTAAATATCTTTCTGCTGATTCACTTGTATATATTTGATTGAGCCGTTAGAGCAGTGGCTAGTAAATTAAAATTAATTAATTACTATAGCGGTAAATTAATTAATTTGAGTTAGGTTTAAATATCTATCTGCTAATTCACTTGTATATATTTGATTGATCCATTAGAGCAGTGGCTAGTAAATTATAATTAATCTTAACTATAATAAAGCTATATGGTTTGGGAAGTAATTAATGTTACAATTAATGCCACAACATCCTTTATTATAAAAAACAAAAACAAAAAAACACAACATTTGAAAAATAAAATAGCTATATATTATATAATCATATAAAAAATGTACTTTTGAAAAATAAAATAGCTATATATTATATAATCATATAAAAAATATGTTCAATTAGAGTTTAAATTTACTCATACAAAATTTGAAATTTGCTTTCCAAACGTAATTATTTTAGTTATTATTCGTATTGTGAAAATTATAATATAGATGAAATACAATTAAGAATAAATCAATGTAATTATGTAAATTCTCTCTATAAGTTTATTTGAATATGCACATAATTAGAGATTATATTAACCATACAAAATTTTAATTTTAATTTAATTGTAATTTTGTATTCTATAAAAATAATAAATACTTGACCAATGGAAGCTCAAAAATATTATTATATTAAACAATTTAAAATATTTTAGTTTTTTAATTTTTTATCTATATTTATAATAACATAATTTTTTCTCGTGCATCGCGCGGGTGAATTACTAGTTAATTACTATAGCAGTAAGGTTTGATGACCTTACACATGGGAGAGGTCATTATATGCCATTTGAGCACAATGTGCTTGACATATATATAGTAATTTTATATTAATAAAATTTATGTTCATTCATTGAACCATTATTTAGTAACATTTGCACATTAAATTATGAATATGTATACTTATAATGTTATTTATTAATTATTTTTTTATATACATGTATATTTACATACAATTTATAAACGTGCATGTATATTTGTAAACAATTTAATTTAATTTTTTTTTTTGGGAAAAAAAAAAAAAAACTTAGCAAAATACAAGTAGTAAGCAGTATAACGAGTAGCCGTGTTGTAAAAGATTTATAGTAACATATCAAGTAGCAGCAAGATTGAGAAGAACCATGTTCTTCTGATGAGTAGTCCAAATGCAATGTTAGCATAACAATGGAAATCAACTCCAACTCTCTTATGGCCAACGATAATGAGGGAGAAGAATAACTTCCAAATCCACCTCTAAATCGTTAAATAGTGAGCCATGACACATTTCTCAAAATGTCAGCAAATTTTTTAAAATCCTGATGGAACACAATCTTCTTAAATCAAAAAATCAGATCTTAAGGGTTGACAATTCTAGGTTAACAGAGTAGTTAAAATCTCTCAATAATCTAACCGTATAATTAGATATCCTCAAAGTTGAGTGCAAAATATTGAAAGAAGAGTGCACAACGAGAAAACCAGAGGAGAAAAAGCTTAAGGAGATTATAGGCACTTTTGCAAGAAGTTTCAAGTTAATGGATACCTTACAGAAGCCTTACTAAACACATTTCTATAACTAGCTTATACTAACAACTAATCAAAATAGTTAACACGTACAATCAACTAGCAGTTATCAACTAATTACTAAAAACCCCATGTATTAAAAAGTTAGTCATCATATATCCATATCATGGAGGCGTTAGTATCAAGTTTAATTATTATCCTTAGCTTTTTCCTTTTGTACCCCGCTATAAGCAAACATAGAGTGAAGTTTCAAACAAACAGGAAATATGGTCAGATTATGTCTAGCAAGAACAATGAAGTGATGTTTTTTTTTTTTTTTTTTGAGACCAATGAAGTGATGTGTTTATTCGCTATGTCTTGTTGGGGTATTTGGAATCAAAGAAATGATATTGTAAGTATTGTTCCTGTATACAATATATTATAATATATAATATATTGTATTATTGGGTGGTTGTGATGCAAGTAGGAAGATTAAGTCAGTGGCTTAATCTGTTAGGCAACTCAGGATATTCAGTTTAGGATTAACTGAATATTTGCCTAAGTTAATGGCATGTAGGCTTCTAAGCAAAACACTCCTCCCACAGCTCCCGTGTTCAGAATACACGCACCATCAGGTATTCGGGAGAGAAGTGGTAGACAAAACACTAACTTTTATTCTGCAGGTTTACCATCTCGTGGCAATACCAACGACTATGGCTAGGGATATTCGGGCGGTCCTAGAGCTTACGCTGTAACGAGACAGGTTACTCGTTTACTACAGTTTATGTTAGCCTGTTAGATATTTCATGGAATAACAAACCAATCCAATCCGCTGCAGCCTTGGTTCGTAAATCTGGGGACTACTTGCAAGACCGGAGAGCTACCAATGAAGACACAGTTCGTAACCACAATACCAGTGTTCAACAAGAAGTTGTTTGGACTAAGCCACAATCAGGTATGAACTATGAAGAAATTCAATGTGGATGCTGCCCTAGACAAAAATACAGGCACAATGGGGTTCGGATGGGTTCTAAGAAATGATAGTGGCAACTTCATTGCGGCAAAGGGTGTTCGTTAGAAAGGCCGGATTGTTTTCTCCTAGAGAAGCTGAGGCGGTTGTTATGCGTGAAGTAATACTCACTTGGTTGAAGGAACGGGACTCATCCTTTCATTTGGTTCTTCCTGATATTAAAAACTTGTTAAGAGATTTCTCTCAAGTTGTAGTTATTTTTGTTAAGCGATCTGCGAATCAAGCAACTCATGCCTTTGCTAGACAGTCCGTTTCTATGTCTTATTGGTCAGAGTGATTTTCTAATAGACTTTATCTGAAATATTTTATCTTTTGGATCTTTATTAATGGTTGTAAAGGAATTAAAATTCAATGAACAGGGTGAATTACATTGTTTGGTTGGAGGAAATTGCAATTTCCTCATTTTGCTGGATTACAATTCAGCACCCCCCCCCCCACCCCCCCCCCCCCTCCCCTCCACACAAGATTTACAATTCGATGCTCAATAGGAGAAAAGATGTTGTGACAATTTTGCCCTTGTAATAATAATATAGTAATAGTAGTATATAAGGGCATTTTAGTCATTGTGTCACTTCTTACCTTTCAATTCCTTGTACTCTACATGCATATAAAACACTGTAATTTTAATTCTTACTTTATTCTCACCTTATTCTTTTCACACCGAATTACAATTCTTTTCCCTACTTATTCTTTCCTTCCGTGTAAGAGTGTGATGAACAAATTGTCCTCCCTAATAATCTTATTATACCACTTTCTTTAATTTATATAAGAATTACGAGCATTTTTATCTTTATACTACTTATATTTCCTTTCCTTTCCTATATATACCAAAGATTATAATTGAAATTTCTAGTAATTATATTCCTACTTATCATACTACCTTTGCATCTCTTTCCTTACAACCTTCAAACGACCTGTTAAATGAGGTTGATTTTAACACAAAATTAAAAATATATATGTTTCATTTCAATTAAAAATCTAAACTGATAGTTATGGTGCACATTTATGTTTGTTCAAAACCCCGGCCCGATAATTTGATTTGATGAGGTTGAAATTAAAGGTACGGTCCAAATAAGGAGGCCTACATACACAAACACAAGAGTGAGAAGTAGGTCAAATAATTTGAAAGGCGAGCCTGAAGTAGTTTGTCGAATGCTGCTACTTCCTTGCAAAAGTGGATCTTTCCGGGGTAGTTCATGCCTGCCTCAAATAAAACAATAAACCGCAGAAACGTCTGTTGCATGCATATGCATGGTTTTCATCATTTTGCATGTTGAACCCACCATTCAATTATTGCTAGCCCCACTCTCGTCATGCATCCATCAAATTCTAAACAATCATCATCACTTTTGTTTGAGTAGTAATAATGTTTAATAAAGAAAAAATATTACTTTTTTTGCTTCTTCAATTGTGAGCTAGTATAGATTTAATCACTTAATTTGTTGAAGGTTAAATTTAGGCATGTTTGGTAAATGGCTGTTGCTGATTGGATTAATTGGAGGGTGTAACTAGTTGATAAAATTAGCTGATTGTAGAAAGATACGAAGTATTTGATAAATTAGCTGTTAACTTAGAGCTGTTTGGTATAATTTCTTTTATCAAAAAGTTAATTAAAAAAATTGATTTGAGCAGCTTTTTAAATTTTAACATTTTGAAATTATAAAAAGCTAATTAACCAACACTTATATTGCTTTTTTAACTCAATCAAACAATTAATAATGATCGAATAAGTTAAAATTAACTGAAAAACTAACTATTTTACTAAATAAGGCCTTAATCTTTTAGTTATTATCAAAATGACAAATCTGATCATTCACCATAAAACTATCATAGTTATACTTAAAAGATCAAAAGTGCCATTTTTTTTATAATTATAAAATATTGAAATTATATATAAAGGATCTTGAGTGATTCGGTGTAATAATTTTAAAAATGTCTATCAATAATATAGTTTGTACTTTATAATTATGAATTTGGGCGAATGATTGTGCATAATATATTCTTATCTATTAACGTACGTGGAGGCCAGAGGGCACCTTGAATTGCTTGATAAACCCTCTATTTAAATTAAAGCATTTTTTTTAAAAATAAAACAATCATTGAAATTATCACTATATCAATACTTTAGCTTCATTTAAAAAAAAAAATGATAAACAATTCTCTTATATTCATTTCACTCCATGGATGATAAAGGGATTGGTTTATGGGTTTATACACTAAAAATGAGAATTAAAAACATAGTTAATGTTTGGTTAATAATTTTTTAAAAGATAATTATGAATTTTGGTTACCCCTTCAATTAAAAATCACATTTCCTAATTAAAAAGGGTATCGTTCCATCTTATTGGTAATCTAATTTTTAAGTTTGGATGAGTACGTTTAGATTTTTGTTTTGATTTTTCTTGTTCATATTGATCGATGCTTTGGATGTCATTATATTAGGATCAATTGCCTTGATTTTTTATTTTTGTATTTTAAAAATATTTATTCCCATTATATGGTCATACAGAACCAAACATTAATATTGGAATCTAATTTTTAAGTTTGGATTAGTACTTTTAGATTTTTGTTTTGATTATTTTGTTCATAGGATGTCATTATATTAGGATCAATTGCCTTGATTTTTTGTTTCTGTATTTTTAAAATAGTTATTCCCATTATAGGGTCATACACAACCAATTAAATATCAATATTTGTGATCATTCCAATTCCACCCAACTACCAAACATGCAAAATATTTTTACCAAAACTCATTACCATTATCAAGATTTGACTCCTATTCCGATTTTCGATTCCCATGTGCGGACCAAACACATCCAAAATACATTCCCATAAATATAACTTTTATTCGTTTATCAATTTGTTATTTTAATTCTATGAACAAAACCACGAGTATCCATCTACCCATATCTTTCAATATATTGTTTCAACAATTACATAAAAGCTAATCTTAATTGATATATATTAGAGAGAATGCTAAAAGTGAGAGATGCAATATAATGGTCCCATGGGATACCGTACACACACATTCTATCTTAGCTAGCTAGCTAGCTTTAAAGAATTAATGATTGAATGAAGAATATTGAGTCAAAATCAGCGTGGGTCACCCGTCGCCTGTTCTTGAACTACCATTTGTCGCTACGTGTCTAATCACCATTTTCATCATGGCTACGGAGTTTGGACATATGCTAGGAAACGGTAAACCAACCGTACAAAACCCTGGTTTCTAGGGTTTCTTTACCTTCCTTTTTACGTTGGATAAAAATGAGACACAAAGGTGACATTTCATTGGACACTTTTGTGTCATACCGTCAAATTTAATTACTGGGTTTAAATTAGGTTGAAATTAAATTATTTGAACAATCTTATCAGTGCAATTATTTGGATGAATTTTTCAGTGATAACTAGGAAAGCAAGGAAAGAGAGAAGAAGAAAAATAGAGGAAAAAAATCTGATAATTTTTTATTTTTTTTTAAAGTAGATCCACACACCCAGCTGGGTATGATAGGTGCGCAAAACGTGCACGTGCAGCATATGTTATATACACTTTTATTCACATTTAATGAGCCCCACAAAAATTTTGCATTTGTAAAAATAAAAACCTTGAAAAAACTACACCCCAATTATTGAAAACCATGGCCTCATCCTAATTTTTCAATCCGAAAAAATCATCTAATAAACCTCTTGGGATGCTCTTATCCAGAACACATTTCTTGCATGGCCTACAGATTTTTTTCGTGACACATACAGCCTAATTCAAGATGGTAGGTGTGGACTCCTAAAATTGGTTCATTGAGTGAACATTTATTGAAACAAGCCATCAGATTGAGCTCGCAACACGGGATTCGACAGACAAGAACATATGCGTTTAATACGTCGAGATCAGAAAACATATATTCTGTGGATGAAAATTGTTGACGAATTTAGTTTCATTTTCTCAACAGGCTGTTTACCTTATGGCTTTGTTTGGCCCGCCTAACTGAAAGTTAAAAACTTAGTAGCTAATAAGTTAACTAATTAAAATTAAAATGTTTGGTAAAAATTAATTGTTAAATTAGGTAATAAGTGTAAAAAGATAAAATAAGATAGGTTAAAGTGTCATCCCGCACCAGGCCTGCTATGCATTTTTCGCTTCTCGTTTCTCCAATCAAGCATGCTTTGTATAGGCCAGCTCTGCGGAGTTTGGTTGTTATTTCGTCAAATTGATGTTGAATAAAGGGACAATTCAGTAATCTCAATATTGACATCTCTTTACTCTCAGCCCTGCGAAATGCAAAATCACTCTTTCTTTTACGAATTACTCCCAAGCATGCGAATCAAATTTTATATTTGCAGGTTTGAGAGTAATAATTCATAAAAGAAAGAGGAATTTCACACTTTGCAAGTCTAGGAGTAAAGAAATGTCAATATTGAAATTACTGAATTGTCCTTATATTTAACACTAAATAGACTGAATAACAAACGGAGGACCAAATTGAACAAAAATACAAAAGTCTGAGACTACATTAGATCACCAAAGTCGTTTAAGACGAAATTGAGAAAAATCATAATAGTCGAGGACCATTTTGTGTATTAACTCTTTCAAAATTTAACCAGTAGTTGTCCTCCTGGAAGGATCATGACTGGTTAAAATTTGTCAGTTGAAGAACCATAGATAGTTAACATAGACTACGTATTGTAACAATTTGAAAGTTGAAGGACCACCGGTGATCAATTAAAAAGTTTAGGACTAAACGTGGAAAAACAACTATACTCGGAGGCAGGGCCGTATTTTAAGTTTTTGTGGCCCTGTTCTAGTAAATAAATGTGGCCCTACAAAATTACAATTTTGAAAACCAATACATGTAAGTTTCGAACCTTTGACCTACAAGTTAAAATACAATAAATACATATTCTCACCACCTCTTCATAAAACCTTTTATATTCAATTGAAAACTTTTAATTTTTATTTCGAAACTAACTGTGTAAAAATTAAATATTGAACCTCTAAAATTTGGGGCCCCTCTAAAATTGGGGGCCCTGTGCGGTAGCCCAGCTTGCACAGCCTAAAATCCGGCCCTGCTCGGAGGACCCTATATATATGGTATTAGCTTCATTCTAAAATGGAAAATATTATATGTACTCTCATTCTCTACTCCTAACTTTTACTCCTACACTTAAATTTTTGGTGCAGATACATTTACAAGGGTCCACATGAAGAAACTACGCAAATTATGTTGTGGAAACGTGTTCACCATGCGCATGGTGAACACAGGGGTAGATCCATCATTTATATGCTGTAGATTCATAATTTTGTTTTTCATTTGTTGTTAACGAAATTTCTCTTTTCGCAATCGCATTATTTCGTCTTCACAGTACAGAAATTATGAATCTATAGTATAGAAATTATGAATCTAGAAATTATAAATCTACACTATAGATGTTATGAATCTACAGTATAGAAATTATGAATCTACAGCTTAGAAATATAGATCTATCACGTGTTCACCATGCGCATAGTAAACACGGTTACACAGCATAACTATTTGAAGAAACTAGCCTATCGGTGTCTGCCACATAAAAAAAAAAAAAGTAAAATTGAGAGAGTAAGATTTAAAAGTACATGTGTTAGAAATTTTTAAAATATACACATTTATGTCAATTGCCCTCCATATTATTACCAAGCATCCATGATGTTTGATCTGACGCCATTAAAACATATTTTTAAAGAAAAACGTACGGTTTGATTTGGGTTTGTCTTTAGAACTTGGGGATTGGCCCAAGCGGAGTAATACCAGTTATTAGAGAGAAGAGACATACCGGTAAGAGTTGGCAGCATCATTTTCTCCATCTTCTGTTTCAATTCGAATTCTGATTTTGTTTTCTGGCTTGGATGCTATCTTTTTATCCCGATTGCTTGGATCGATCCTGAATTACAATTTTATGAATTTAAACTGATACGCTCGATCTTCAAATTCTAGGGTTTAAACTGATGCTTTGTTTAAGCCGGTTTTGTAGCTCCGTATTTTTGTTCTTTCTACCCACTATTCATCTAGTTAATTAGATGCTAGCCTTCAAAGCCCTTAAGTTTTGATTAAAATAGCTTTTGTTTTTCATAATAGGTATAAATCCCAACATATTGCGAGATATGCTTTAATGAATGGCCATTTATATTTGAAAAAGCAATACTGAAGCAATGGATGCTATCCTGTGTAATTGTATAATGAATTACTGTGATGTTGTAATCCACTTTCCACTTCCCCAATTGCTGGATTATTTTCTGGTTTTATCTCTTGGGATGTTGTTGTAGATGTTATAATTGAAATGTTCCTCTTCTTATTGGAGCAAGGATGTGGAGCTTTGCATCCAATTGTATAGCTGGGAAAGTCGGGCCAAAAACGGATACTTTGAAGGGAGCTGAGGATGCAGATTGCTCAGATGATGAAGTTTCTTCCACCACAAGTAGAGAAGAGGGACTAGAGTGTCCTATATGCTGGGAGTCCTTCAACATTGTTGAAAATGTACCCTATGTTTTATGGTGTGGCCATACGCTCTGTAAAAATTGCATTCTTGGACTCCAATGGGCAGTTGTGAAGTTTCCTACCTTACCACTCCAGCTTCCACACTTTATAGCTTGCCCGTGGTGCAACTTATTGTCCCTGCGTCTCGTGTATAGGGGAAACCTAAAGTTTCCTCGTAAGAACTTCTTCCTTCTGTGGATGCTTGAGAGCATGAATGGCGATAGAACGAGGTTACGTTCTGCCTTTTGTGGCAATCATCAGCCATCCTGGTTGTCGGGTTCAGGTACAGCTTTAGTGGGGAATTCTGGTAGTGGGATTAGTCTCCGAAGGAGATCATCCACTCGACAATCAGAATCATCAGAACCACACCACGATCGAAGTCGCACAGAGGAGGAGGGGTTTCTTGCTATTGAGTGGCTGCATTCCTCTCTTAGGAAGTTACTTATTTTCTTCTTTCATCTGACAGCCAAGTTCCCCTTGGTGGTCTTGTTCCTACTTATCATCTTGTCCGCCATACCGGCCAGTGCAGCTATCTTGGCCCTGTACATGGTTATCACTATTGTGTTTGCCTTACCATCTTTTCTCATTCTGTACTTTGCATATCCAAGTTTGGATTGGCTAGTCAGAGAAATAATCACCTGAGATTTCATTCATTCTTGCTGTCTTGATTGTCAAAGCCTTCTAGTTCGCCCCGCTTCTGTTTAATCTTGTGGTGATCTGCTGCTATTGATTCCCTCAAAACTTTGCATAGAATGAGAAAGCTATATCACATGAATGACTTTTTTTTTGCTTAGATTTATATGCTTAGATTTGTGATGATTGTGGAAGCAAGAAGCTACTAGTTCTTTGTTTATACAATCAATTTTGTGCAGGCTAGTGAAGCATATTGACTTATTGTACTAGCTTAGTTCTTTTTATATTCCTGTTGATAAATACTATTATGTAAATTCATTTGAGTTCATGACCGTTTTGATCATTCAACTATGCTGTAATTACCAACTTGGTGATCGACTATCAATTTTGACCAATTAAATCCTCAACTATTGATTTCGTTATTGATTTGATCATCTGTCAAACTGATCGAGGACCAATTAGGTAATTACGGAGGATCAAATCGGTTACGAAATCAATACTTGAGGATTTAATTGGTCAAAATTGATAATCTACAACATAGTCGATGGTCCAAAACAGTCATTAATTCAATTCATTTGATGCTTATGAACATGCAAATGTAAATATACAAATGCACATGTATCTATGCGTGAATAGTACGAGGACTTTGCATTCTTCAATTTTGAATTCTGCTACATGTACTTCTAAATCTTATTTTCATGGTGCTCTGTGGGAAGTTATTTTTTTTAATTCCAATACAATTGTACACATCAAAGAAGCATGTGTTCTGTCGTTCTTTAGATTCCTAATCTTGTTCTGTAGTCAAGACCTACCTAGTCGGTAGCCTTTTGCTGTGAACTAGAAACGCCTCTGTAGAAGATATGCTAATAAAATTCATAAGAATTTGCTTCCACTTTTTTTTTTTTTTTTTCTTTAATAATCAGCTACATAATCTTACGGGGAGGTTGATATCACCTGCTATATATATTTTATTTTTATTTTTATTTATGTTAATAAATAAATTTTATATTTAAAAGATTTTGTTTTTAATAAAATAGTTACCTAAGATGCTAAATTAATTAATCTTTGTATTGTGGAACTCTTATGGGGTGTTTGGTTGGCATGGATTTTAATTCTTTGGCAATGAAATTCAGCATCTATTGGTACCAAGTTGTTCCCCTATGTGGAATGTTGTGGGTTCGAGTTTCAGTTGAGGGGAACTATTGGCTCTTTGTGCTTCAGTAGGTTGAGAAAATAATTATGAATAATACTACATTGTAATAGAGTACAAAAATCAGCATCCATGAAATTTACATTGTCTAGTTTTGAGGAAATTGCAATTCTCTTAATTCATAAATTGGAATTCATAGCACCTAGAAGAAAAAGCAAAAAAGAAAAAAAAAACAAATTTACCACCATCATCATTATTATTATTATTATTATTATTATTATTATTATTATTATTATTATTATTATTATTATTATTATGGTCAAATAGGCCATTATTTAAAATTTAAAAAAAAAAAAAAAAAAACCTCCACCCCTACCTTCATCTCTGGCGAAGACGAAGTGGCTCCGTTTGTTTCCTGGCTAGAGCACGTTTATTAAAAGAGTTCTATTACTTATATACTCAAATTTTACTCTCTCAAATTTATTCTCTACATAGCAAACATTAATAGATTATTTTTTCATGTGAATCTTGTAAATGTGTTTATATCAAAATTTTAAGTGTGAAATTAAAAATTAAAAGTAAAGAATAAGAGTAAATATAATATTTTCCAAGCCGTATGCTCAAGATTTGGTACCAAGTTGATACTTGCTTATTTCTCAGTCTGAACGTTGAGGAGACGTTGCTTTCAAGTGGTGAATAGGCAATGGGCAATAGGATTCCGAAAGCTGGCCCGACAAAACACTCAGCTATCAATGAATGACCACTTACCTTTGGCTGTGAGTGAACGCCCCCGTGAAGTTATCCCTTGTTCATAAATGTAAGCATTTTCTTCTCTCCCACAAAAAGTTAATTTCTTAATTTCAATAGACATTAAATGTTCGTGCATATAAGAATTCTGCTCACTTTAACCGTAATTCTATTAAATTTTAAACTTTAGTCTCTTTTTTAAAATATTACATATTAAACCAGTTAGGCCCATAGGGTTGAGGTTCCGCAAATTACGCCATGGAATCGTGTTCACCGAGAATGGTGAACACAAGGCAAAACGACGTCGTTTTTAGGCAAAAAAAAAAAAAAATTCGCGAATGTGCAGTTAACGGCGCGCGTTTGATCAAATTATGAATTTTCTGTTATGAGATTATGAATTTTATGAAAATTCATAATCTCATAACAGAAAATTCATAATCGCATAACAGAAAATTCATAATCTCACAACTGAAAATTCATAATCTCATAACAGAAAATTCATAATCTTATAACAGAAAATTCATAATCTCATGGTTCCAAAGTGAATGTGTAGGCATGGTTCCAAAGTGAATGTGCAGACATGGATTCATAATTTATGAATGTCCGTGATTTCGGACGGGAATATGTAGGCATGGTTCCAAAGTGAATGTGCAGGCATGAATTCATAATTTATGAATGTCCGAAATTATGAATGTAATGAAAATTCATAATCGCATAACAGAAAATTCATAATCTCATAACTGAAAATTCATAATCTTATAACAGAAAATTCATAATCTCATGGTTCCAAAATGAATGTGTAGGCGTGGTTCCAAAGTGAATGTGCAAGCATGGATTCATAATTTATGAATGTCCGTGATTTCGGACAGGAATGTGTAGGCATGGTTCCAAAGTGAATGTGCAGGCATGAATTCATAATTTATGAATGTCCGAAATCTTTGTTCACCTCAAATTAAAGTGAAACCGCAAAATGTGAAAATAAAAAAGAAAAGTCACGCAATTAATTAAGAAAAAAAAAAAAAAAAAAGATAACGGTGTACTAACACCGTTGGAACCGTGTTCACCATGAATGGTGAACACAATTCCATAGCATAACGTCCCGTTGAGGTTCAACATTTTGGAAGAATATTAAACCAGGTAGCTAAGACCGACTTTCATTTTTCTTTTCTAAGATATGGAATGGCAGAGGCAGTCTGTGTCTGTCTTTACTCGCCGTTCTGCTGCCTACACCCTTCCACTGTGCGAGGCCATACTTCATTAGCATTTTAGCGGACGATAAAACCCCTCAAGAATTCAGTAATTTCCCTTCCTAGTTCCTACCTCGCTCGCTCCACCGTTTAGGTACTGCTTTCGATTATTTTATGTATTTTTTCTCAGCATCTTATGCTTAAATTTCTGGACTTTGAATTCTTCTTTCTTGTTTCTTGCTCGCGTAGTGAAGCTTCTGGAGGGAGTTCTGTATGCTAATGTTTAAGGCCACGCGAGCTGGGGTCAAAATTCTGGGACTCCCTCCGATTTCTACCTTGTTACGATCTAACCCTCTGATTCTCGTGTTTTTTTGCTAGGAAGCTGTAAGTATCTGTATGATCAGCTGTACTTTATCCAAGTTGATTTTCTTCCCAATTTTTTTTTTCTACCCAAATATGCTGTGCATTAGGGCTTTGTGAGGTGCTTCTCGGTTTTCTGTGATTGTTTAATTGTCTCTCAAATCACGCGAAGGAAATTTTTTTTGAGATTTTTATCAGATATGTGGACTTACATTTTCAGCTCCAATTGAGTTTGACAAAGGCTACTCAGTAAATTGAGGTCAAGATTGCTGCACTTTTATTTCCAGTATAGTAGTGTCTCAGTTAGTTCATCTATGGATTTGTTTTCTAGGGTTAAAGTCCCTCTTGGAGTGCTATGGTATTGTCCTAGCTGTGATCATTGTTGAACATATATATGTATAATATATAAATATAAATGTGAAGTCTAACTATCAGCTTAGCCTTTTAGTTGAGGAGCTTTTAGTTGAGATAGAGTGCATGCTTCAATTGAGTATAAGAGCCCACCGCATGCTAAAGGTCTTGGTTTGAATCAGCTTAGGCTTTTAGTTGAGATGGAGCACATGTTTCAATTATCATTTTAACTTCTCCCTGAATTGTATTAACTGAGAATGCAACTATCCTTGAACTTCTGAAGATGTTAGCTACATTAATTTTAGCAGTTCATTAAAGAAAAAAAGTTCCTTATGTTTAAGAGTACCTACTCTTTGTTTCTGCAATGATTGACAGGTGAGAACAATGCCAATGGCCAAGCACTTCCGATGTATGCACTCGACAAATTGTGTTTGCATAAAAGGGCATCTGAGTGAAGAAGTGATATTCTTACTTTTCCAGCATTTGAACTGGAACCCTAAGATGATTGCCGCTCTGTCGTGTGTATGCAAATGGTTTGATGATCTAGCCAAGAGGGTGCTTTGGAAGGAGTTCTGTAAGACAAGAGCACCGAAGATGATGCTTGATCTGCAGTCTAGTAGGAGTCACAGTGTCGATGGGAACTGGAGAGCCCTCGGGAAGCTTCTGAGTTACTGCTCCGGCTGTACCAAGGGCGGCTTGTTCAATAGCATTCATATTCCTGGACATTTTGTTTACAGAACCCGTTTCTCGAGGACATCTGGGAAGAGCTTTCTTTTACCGCAATGCAGGACGGATGTTTTGTATGTATCTGACCCTTGCGAGCATCTTGACCAAGGAGAAGAGGGGGATGTTGGTTTTTTCCGTGGACTGTTTAAATCGTTTGCAACATCAAAAGTTCGGAAAATGCTGATTAAGAGAAAGGCACAGCTACACCCAAAGGAGGTATGTCCTTACTGTAAGGCTAAGTTGTGGAGCATGTTGCAGGCTAAGATGATACCGTCAAGTGCCAGCTGCAGGTTGGTCGCTTATGAAGATGCAGTTGAGTATTATGTGTGCCTTAACGGGCATGTGCTCGGGATTTGCACCCTCTTACCTTTGTCTGATACAGAGGAAGCACCCGAATCGGATTGTGACACTTGAGAGTGCAGTAATCTTGGACACATTTAAGTTCCTTATTATCTCTTAATTTTGTTGGGGGTATTTTCATACAAGAGCATAGCAGATTATACTGCAATTTGAACACACATGAAATTCATACTGCAACTCCCAAACTGAAGGGGAAAACAAAAAAAAACTTGGATTGTAATGAAGTTTCTGTTTCAGGTTATAGACATGAGGATAAGATGCCATCAAACAAAACACTTTTTATAAGCTAGTCAAGGCAGTGCAACTGAACAATAGTAAGTTTCTGAGGTTCCACCATGAGGAAGAACGATATCCACGAAATCCAGCATTTTTCTGTTGCTTTTATTCAGTTTCCTCTTCAAAGTTTAACCCAGAGATGCTCATCTTGCCTATGTTAACTGCACATGGAACTTTACTTGATAAGCAACTTGGCAAAACTAATTCCATAGAGTAGAATACAAACACCTAAATTAATGATAATATGTAAAAGCTATATGGTTCTAGGCGCCCCTAGGCCGAGAGAATTTTACATTTTTACCCTTAGGTAGACATAAGTCGGCCGACTAGGCAGTCTAGCCGCCAGAGTCGGCGAACTCGGCCGAGTGTTTTTTCTTATTAGTATTATTTGCCCGACTAGTGTCTAGCGCTTTCTACAACATTGAGTTTAGATAAATAGCTTATAAACATATCCAATTACATTGAGCCTTAAAATACAGGTTCCAAAATTTCATTTTAGACTGAAATGGTTATAAGAGGTGTTTGGCAACAGTAACCACTCTGCAAAAGAATATAGACAACTCACCAACAGCATCCATCCCTGCTAACTTGGGCATGAACTTGTTGATATGCTCCTCCGCTTCTTTTTCAGCTTTTAGTGTTTCGCACTCGAAAGAAACCAAAATATTTTGTTTTTGGTGCTTCTCTTCAAGCAAAGTCATAACATCATTGTCCCACCTGCCAGCAAAAAGGATTAAAACCATGAGGAAAGATGGGAAGGGTAGCAGCTTTCAAGTCCAGAATGACTCACCCATGAGCATGGTCAACGTTATTTAGCCTAGCAGCATCATGACCTTTGCATTCCACTATGACATCCCTTTCTCTCCTAGTCTATGGCAGTCCAAATTCATCAAACATATAAAGCAAATAAAAAGGATATAATGAGATATTATTTATCATAGACAGGTGAATGTGAATCTCTCCTAACCTTTACAGTGGTTAGAGTTCAAAAAGAGAGACAGATAATGAGAGAGAGAGAGATCAATAGAAGTTGCAGCTCGTATCACTTACATTAAAGTCTGTAATTGTAAGTTTGATTAAGCGGTAATCCTCCCCCCTGCTGCACTCCCTTTCACATGCCAACTCTTTATACATAGCAAAAGAGACATTTTATCCAATGCCCCAACTCATTGGCTCTAAGCCTCTAACAAAATGTATTCAAATTAAAGAATGCCAAAACTCATTTGCAGAAATTCACTTTCCAGTTCCACCCATAGCTAAATGCAGCAGAGAATAGAAAACACTTCTACATGTTCATCAAAACTGTATGCTCCAACCATCCCATACATGATTAACCAGAGAACACACTTAGACTATATCACAAGAAGAAAACAATCAAAATCACCTAGGCAAGTTATACACTTAAACATCTACAATACCGGAGACAATAGCACCAAAAGATCAATCTTGGAAATATAATTCATTTACAGTATGCAAAAGAATGTATCTGAGCACAACATATACTAGCACACCAATATCCTATGATTCTAAGTGGAAGAAGAAAGGTTTCATTTAAGAAAAGCTTGTGACAAAAGGTGGAATAGCCTACCCCATGCGCCCGAACACCTTGGGCTGCCAGTTTGTGGAAGGGTAAACTATGGTGACTCAACTGATCAATAGAGGCTAAATTTTTGTTCACTGCGCATAAAGAACCCCTCATTTTGGGAGGTTTTACTTTCACACTGGCATTGATGAAACTCGATCATTAGTTTCTTGAGACAAATCTCAGCTCTGTGACCAGTTGAACTACCCATTTCATTTAAGAAAAGCTTGTGACACAAGGTGGAATAGCCTACCCCATGCGCCCGAACACCTTGGGCTGCCAGTTTGTGGAAGGGTAAACTATGGTGACTCAACTGATCAACAGAGGCTAAATTTTTGTTCACTACGCAAAAGAACCCCTCATTTTGGGAGGTTACTTTCACACTGGCATTGGTGAAACTCGATCATTAGTTTCTTAAGACAAATTTCAGCTCTGTGACCAGTTGAACTACCCATTTCATTTAAGAAAAGCTGTATGAATGGATAGCTTGACTCGGAATTTGTAAGAGCTCAATATGTGAACACAAGAAAGCACGTATATTGAAGAGTAATTTTACCAGTGCCGTGAAGGCCATAGCAGATAGAGTGTGGAAGATGAATGAAGTGTCCAGATATAGATCCACTCGGTAATAGTGCTATGGATGCCATCCCTTCCATCAGCTTCCCCCTCGCCAAACCATTTTCCTTTTCTTCTGCACAATCAATGTTTCAAAATCGGTATTTCTCTTTCAAATAAGACTTTTATGTTTACATAAAATACATTATCCGTGCAGAATATTTACCCATTTTTTCTTCAAATCCTCTTCGATCCGAAATCGTTGAACTTTGTCTTGAATCTCGTAGAGAGCAGGGTTTGGAGCGCAAGGGTTTTAGCGGGAAATGGTTTCCCCTCAAACGACGTCGTTAGTAAAGATATTTTCAACACTTATCGGGTATTCTTCTTCCATTACTGGAACCCAAGGAAAATAAAATTCTAATTCCTGTTTTCCTAAAATCTGAGGTCTAACTTAAACGCCGCCTCAATCTCAAGCGACAGCTTCACAAAACCACTCTTCCAGCCGGTGGCCGGCCGCCAGAGTCTGACAGTATTGCAGTAAGCTCATATTCTCCTAAGCCCTCTTGTATATACATAATCTAAATAGGTTTAGTATTTACGAGATTGTGCTATATGCTTTATCAGATGATTTGAGCTTTTCATAATAGAAAATTGAGAAATTCAATGCCAGAAAATTGAGAAATTCAATGCCTGAGCTTGTTACATTTCTACTTGTTTTGTAACTTTAATCTCTTTTTGAGCTGTATTGTTATATCTGATATTATGAAAAGATGAAAACATGGTATTAAGATTGAAAATTAGCTTTTGGTAAGAAGAAATATTGCTGATGGCTGATGCATATTTTCTTAGTTCCACAAGTGTCTGATGAACTTTTGGTTTAATTGCAGTTTCAATTGTACGGTTTTTTGTGTGTTGGAATGAGTATGGTAGAAGTGCTAAGATGTCAGCTTGCATTACATGGGTATGGCAAGTGTGCCCCATTGTTGTGTTCAAAAGACCACCACTTAAGCCTTCCAAGTAAAGGTTTTGTCAGTGATGCACATTCTCTTGTTGCTTCTAGACCCCGAAAGATGTTTTTATTCAGAAACAGTGGTCTTGAAATGTGTATTTCTGATGGGTGGTTGGCAATTCCAAGAGTAAAATGTGTAATTAGTTTCAAAGAATCTAGTATACGATCTAATGCTGTTAACATTGAATTTGAGTCATCCTGTGAAGAGGAGAATGCTCCTGCTAATGATGAAAAAGAAGGATTGCATGAAAAGTTGCCTCTTTTGAAGAATTTGGTACATAAAAAGGATATAAATAGTAGTGCAGGGGCTGCTAATCTAAGTGGAAGTAGGGTATATTACTTGGAAGAAAGAAATGAAAACATATTATCAAAGAGGATCTTGAAACTTAGCAGATCGAACAAGGTTAGGAGTGCACTAGGACTTTATAAGTCAATGATATTTACAGGTCTTCGACCTAATTTACATGCCTGCAATTCCCTTCTTTCCTGTATCTTGAGGAATGGAATGCTTGACGATGCCTTGGAGATCTTTGAGTTCTTGAAGGAAGGTAACATGACCACTGCTCACACTTATAGTTTAATTTTAAAGGCAGTTGCTAAAGATTGGGGGGATGATGCTGCGTTAAAAATGTTCGAGGAGATGTGTAAAAATAGTGACACTAGCAAAGGATTTGATATTGTTGTCTATAACACAATGATATCGGTTTTTGGAAAACTAAACAACTGGGTTCAGGCTGAGAAAATTTGGAGGATTTTACAAAACAGAAGCCTTGTAGGAACATCGGTCACTTATAGCATATTAATCTGCCTATTTGTTCGTTGTGGGCAGAATGAACTAGCACTCGACGCATATAGTGAGATGGTTCGAAATGGATTGACACCTGATGATGATGTAATGCAGGCAATTATTGGAGCGTGTGTGAAGGAGGGGAACCATGATATGGCGTTTTCTATGTTGCAAGGTATGTTAAATAGAGGGTTGAAGCCAAATGCGATATCCTGCAATGTAGTGATCAACTCACTTGGGAAAGCCGGTAAACCCAAGCTTGCATTCAAGGTTTATGATCTCATGAAGTCACTCGGTCATGTGCCTGATGCATACACATGGAATGCACTTCTTGGTTCCCTGAACCGGGTGAATCAACATGCTGATGCAATTCGATTGTTTCAGAGGATCAGGAAACAGCAAAACGACATCCTAAACTTGCATATATACAATACGATTTTAATATCTTGCCAGAGACTTGGGCGTTGGGAAAAAGCAGTGGAAATGCTATGGGAAATGGAGGCTTCTGGATGTTCTGTTTCAACGTCCTCATATAATCTTGTAATTGGTGCTTGTGAGGTTGCAAGAAAGCCGAAGGTTGCATTGCAAGTTTATAACCACATGATTCACCAAAAATGTTCTCCCGATCTTTTCACTCTGCTGTCTCTGATAAGAAGTTGCATCTGGGGGTCACTTTGGGATGAAGTTGCGGAGATTCTAAATGTAAGCCTTGGCATGCTACCAAAATGTTTTGTTACTATTTCCCCCTATCATTGATGTTAAAGTTCCCTTTTCTGACAAACTATAATCAATGGCCTTGAGTAAACATACAGTAAATAAGTCACAGTTCTAAACATTGAGAATTCAGGAACTTTAATAAATGTAGCAGCTGTTCAATGTTATTTTGGTTGAATATACTAAAGATTTTAGTTGCACTAAACTTTTCGATTTGTCATATAGCATTCTGCACCGAATGGGTCCTTGTACAATGCTGCAATTCAGGGAATGTGTCTGACAGGCAGGATTGATCTTGCTAGGAAGGTGTACATAAAAATGCATCAGAGTGGTCTCAAAGCTGATGGGAAAACAAGGGCTCTGATGCTGCAAAACTTACCGAAAGATCTCAGGAGATGACAGTTACCTGATTGACCATGGGAAATCAGTTCCCTATGATCCTGTTCCTCTCATTTCTATAACTGAAAGGATGATCAATGGTTGGCACTAAGTAAGGCCAGGCCAAAAATGCAGTGGCAAACTTGGATTCTAAATTCATTTGCTCCGTATATTGCATCTTCGTTTTAGTTAGGGTTTTGTTATTCTGTTCTCTCTTTCGTTTTAATCTCAATTTCATCACTTTTCCTTTTCATCTTTCAGGATACACAGCGCCTCCTCAGCGAACCAGGTAACTCTCTCTCTCTCTCTCTCTCTCTCTCTCTCTATATATATATATATATATATATATATATATATGAAATTAATATTGTGGAGTTAAGTTAGTTGTTTGTAACATGTATGTAAAACAAAGTGGTGCAGCACCTGGAATAAGTTTTTTAGTGATTTTTTTTTTTTCTTTTCTCTAATATTGCATAAGTTTAAAGTTTCAAGTTCATTTAATGTATTTGACTGTTTAAAGCTTTTTACCCACAACCCCATGGAGGCTTAAGGCATAGGCTCAATGGTTTAAATGCTTTGAAACCCAAACCCCTTGATGCCTTTTCTCTATCTGTCAATGGTTTTCAGAAATTTCACGTCTTTGTTACCAAGCCTTCTTCATTGGTTGCCCAAAAGAACCCAACTTTCCCTATCTGCAGAGCTGAGGCTGCTGCAGCGGCTGATGGGCAACCGGTTTTTGGAGGAGAGCAGGAGTCATTATCACCTAAGTTTTTGGGTATTGAGCTTACGACCCTTAAGAAAATAATACCTCTTGGAATGATTTTGAGAAGTAGAAACGATTTAAAGCTGCTCAAAATTCTTGTGTGGTTTTATCCTGTTGTTAGATTCTAATCTTAATCGCTGCAATAGAGCAGTGTGGTGGGTTCTGTAACCATATATTAACAGAGAAATTTTATTGTTTTTGCACAGTTGGAATAACTTGATACTCATCAATTTATTATCTAATCATTGGTTGGCGCTAAAGGAAGCCATTAGTGGCTTGAAGCAGGCGGGTATTATCCAGGCCAGCCTTCGAGAAAATCCCAGGAGCCAATCCATTCTTTTGCTTCAACACTGCGTTCATCCTGTAAGTCTTGCTGCAACGACAGGGTGGAGGTTCAAATTGATCAGACGTGATGAAGACTGAGTGAAGTGTACAGACAGAGACTAATTGATCTTAAGCTAGAAAAACTAAATGTATCAAAAAAAAAGATTATGGGGGCTTAAAAAATGTATAGTTTCTGTATCCCTTGCTTTGTCTGAAAAATAAGGGTATAATTTATTTTTTAAACTATGTTATTGTTAGATAAAATTTAAATATTTATTCATTCAAAAACTTACATGATATACATTATATAATGGGCTGTCACAGTAGTTCCAATGACAAAAAGTATGAATTCAGATATATACACTTAGAAGACCGAGGCAGTTAAGCCTGTAAAAATTCACACACATCACTACTTTTTCAAAAACATAGGAAAAAATGACCAAAAAACAAACAAACAAACAAACATTAAAGTGGTGAGGTAGTAGCAACTAATTCCTATCAACTGCATCACACTGTTTCTCAATTCAAATTCCTGTTTGCTTGCTTGCTTTTACCTGGAGACAGAGAGAGAACAGTTATTATTGTATCAAATGGGAAGCCAAGATAGGAAACAAACAGTACCTACCTTCAATGAATGGTGTTTCCAGGTAGAAAGTGCTATTCATAATATTACACACAGACATCTACTCTGTGCCGGGTCATTTGATGCCTTCTTTTCTGCGAAATATAACCGACTTTGAAACATTTAGACGCTGGTTAAGGAGGCAAACGAAAATAAATGATATGGTGAAGAATAAAGGTATAGATCGAGCTCCAATAACACAGGAAGGATAGTTACGGAAAAAGCAAAGGGAAGAGAATGCTTGATTTTCTAACACCTTAACAATAATGCAGGGAAACCAGCTTAGTTGGCGTGAGTGACCGTGCACTCTCATCCCTTAGAGAAGATGGGAGTTCGAACTTTAAACCACCTTTCATATAGAAAAATCAATATGCTCAGCACTTTGCTCCTTATTTGGGATGACTCGGTGCGAACATAGATTAGTTTGAGTATGGTACAGGTTTAAAGGTGTTTCCTACAGTTAGGGCTTACTCAGGACACCTCGTGGTCTAACAAAAGAAACAATAATGCATGCATCACGAGCAATTATTAGTTTCAACCAATGAACCAAACAATATTTTCACTAAGAGTTCTACTACATGTACTCCCTAATCTTACTCCCTAAATTTTATTCCCTGATGTGGCGGATTCTGATAAGTTATTTTTTTCATGTGGGTCCCCATACAACTGTCTACATCAAGGTTTAGTGTGTGGGAGTACACTATGGGAGTACATGTAACATTTTCCTTTCACTAAATATAAGTGCTTGCAGTTTGATAAGGTGCACTCTGGTTGAAGTCCGTCTTGTGATCCTAATAGACAAAGGACCACAAGGAGGTAAACCAGTTTAGGTTTGCCCATAACTGATTGGCTCAAACCAAGAAGGCCAATAGGCAGCTCCCATGAAACCTGGTGGTTACCGAGCCAATTGTCCGACCAACTTAGTTGGCCTCCCAAGTGCTTGCACACACTTCACCCATAAGGTTTCGAAAAATGTCGGCAGACTAATGTGTGTTTGTGCTGACCTTTCTCCTGAAGTGGGAAATGAACAACAACATGCATGGTTGTGACTCCTCCCGGAACATCACATAACGGGCTCCTGCACTCCCCCAATGTCCTGTCGTTCTCTAATATCCTTCCAGCACTGATCAATTTAACATCTTTTACTGTTCTTGGACCATTTTCCTTCTCTATTCAAAAGTAAAATCTTTGTTTTAGTGCGGCCCTCTAATCACAGCAGACATTTCGCAATGTACATTTGGCCCTAAAAACTCAATATCAAATTTGAACCAAGTAGATACTGAAATACCAAAGTAAAGCAACAATGATGTCATGGTATATCAGGTACAGAATTTCAAGCTCAAGAAAAGTGATCGAAGCACATAACCCAAGTGAAAGGCTTAGACTAAATATGTCAATGTTAAATTGAAAGCAGAAGAGTCGATACTAATATAATTTATGTATATTTTCACCGAAATAACAAAAAAGATAATAGAAAGTTAAGAAAGAGAAACATTTAGTCGTAAAGCTAAAAGGCTAGCAGCAAGCCAAGAACAAACACTGTCAAGATTATTATAAAACAGAGACCACAATTCTTAACTTTGAGGTTTTATATATGTTGTAAGTAATTATTTTCGCTCTTTTAAGTGCAATTGCTTCAAGTGATAGGCCCGAATGAAAGCTTGAGAAAATTGATTTAATTGTAGAAACTGTAGTGACAAACAAACACAAAACAAAGTGATCTCACTATATAAAAGCAGTAAAAATAAAAAATTAAGAAGATTTATTCATTTGTGGCTTTCGATTTGCTCAGAGCTACCCACAAGCTTGGCATGAGACATAATCTGCATTTGCATTCATTGTTCACAAACACACAAACATGTAAGAATGCACTTTTGAGAAACCAAAAGTGTTATAATCATACTAAAAAATTGAATCCGAACTCTAACTAGTTGACCAACCACACTAAAAGATTGAATCCAATCAATTAGCTAGTCTAATCAATTAGCTAGTCTAACACATAGCCTTATAAACTCATATGTTCTCTCTTATTTTATCAATTAGCAGTCAGATGAAATGATTGGGGCTATGGCTACCAAAGAAAGCACATAACTAGTTTATCATTTTAGTCCGAAGGTAAAAACATCAAATAACAAAATGTATATTAGCAAGCAGAATTGTACACATATATAAAAAACACCATATTCATCAAGATCCAACGAACCTTCAGGCCACTGGGCAAGTATGCTCTCCTCAACACTGCAACACTAGTAGCTGCCGGAAAACATTTAGGCCCTATGTCTGATCCATCTGCCAATCTAAACTTGATCTCTACCTCATCATCTTTGGCTTCAGACATTTGTATAATTAATAACTACTACGACGATCTTCACCTCAGTTTTGGACCAACTTATCAGAGCCCAATTTTACAAATGATATTATGTGATACTAAACCACAAAAGTAAAGTCTTGAATCTGCGAAATGATTTACAGATCAATCTTACAGAACAAAAGAAATTCAACTCTGCAAGATAATAAACTTGGAATCATTTAGAAAAGGAAATCGTTAAATTGAAACGCTAACTAAACATCAAATCCAGAAAATATTAATAGCATCTATGCGTGTATTCAAGAATTCTTGAAAAAAAGGCATAGAAATAACACCCCCCCCCCCCCCCAAAAAAAAAAAAAAAAAAAAAAAAAAAAAAAAAAAAAAAAAAAAACAGGATAATAAGATCAGAATTAGGAGATAACGATTACTTCAAAGAAAGAAAAATCCCTCTAGATGGGCACCCAGCATCAATCAAAAAAAGAAAGACTCAAACCAAAAACATCATCGAAATTGCCACAGTACGACTGTACGAGGTACGACATTAATTCACAGGGAAAAAATTATTTAAAAACAAAAAAACTCCAAAATTTGTGCATGATTAGACTTACTTGTTGAAGAACTGATCTGAGAGCCGCCGGAGAGGTTGGAACTGATCAACTGAAGAAGAGAAGTGGTGGCAACTGATGCATTGAGAATATGTAAAGTAGTTAATAAACTGATGAATTTAAAAAAAAAAAAATTGCAAATAAAATGAGGGAAAATGAAGAAATGATGAAAGAAATCGGCAGAGAAGGGTGTTGTATATGGAAGTCTCCTTGTCTTCTTGTTGGGTCAATGAATATTGTACCCGTCGCCCTCTCCTTCAGGTTGTCTTCCCAAGTTTCTGGTAAAATCAGAATTTTCTTCCCATTTTTGTTTTTCATTTTCCTTTTTTCTTTTCATTTTATTGATGCCTATGCAAATGCAAATGCAATGCATATGAAAGATATAACCAATGTTTCTCTAGAATACCCAGCAGTCTAACACACCGAATATAAAACTGTGGTTTGTCTTCTTTTCCATTCCTATCCTATCATCAATTCCATATCTACTTATCTCTATATCATCACTTAATAATTATTTTTTATATATTAAAAAAACTGACCCACCACTTTCTTATCCCAAATATTATTATTATTATTATTATTATTATAATAACAGTAAGCTTAACAACTCTTCAAATTTCGCGCAATGAAGTCAACTAGTTTGCTCCCGGGGTCCCCCTCCTTACGATTAAAAAAAAAAAACAATTCTTCAATTTTCAGCTTCGAGCTTATAGTTTTTTAACTTTCAGCTTCTAACTTATAGCTTTTTAACTTTCAGCTCTTAACTTATAGCTTTTCAGTTAGGTTTGTTAAATAGAGCCTACATATAACTAGTTTCTGGACTGCGCTTCACTTGGCCAAGTTGCAAAAATCATATCAGAGCATCCAGTGAGTCCCACAAGTTTGTCAAAAACCAAATGCTCGCATGAAGATTTTTTTTTTTCTCTCCTCACCATCTCTTCTCCATTCTTGCTTTTCTCAAAAACCTATCCAAAATCTATAGATTGGGGATGCTCTAAGAGAATTTTAAATAGTAAGTGACTATTAAGAGAATTAAAACTTATTTATTTTTATTAAACAATAAAAATACTTTACCAAATATACGAATTATGAAAGTTATTGTATAGACTTTCATTTTTTACTCTCAATTTCAATTCTATTCACACTTTCAAATATTTTATGTGAAAACTTTTTTAGGGACTAACATGATGAAAATAGTCTATCGCCTTGTTTGTCACATTAAGAAATAAAAGTAAGAGAGTAGAATTTGAGAGTATACACAATAAAACTCGCAAATTATACATGTCTTTGGAAATTGAAGGAGAGATCGAAATATAACCATACAACTCACACAAAAATACATTAATAATATATAATGACAAATGAACTTATATATAGTAAGACTAAATTTTGTTCGAGAGCATTTTCTTCGAAATGAAATCAAAAGATATTCCATTTTGTTGGAGTCGATGTTGAAGATCCGTCGGACCAAATATAATCCCGGGAAGAAAAACTCCGCCTTTAGGCAACTCTTGACGCTGGCTCAACAAGACTAGAGCACATTGAATTAGAATGATGGGAGTTGTGGAATAGCCAATGTCAGGTCCCGTTACTCTCGTAATAATTTCCATATCCGGTTTCTTGCCCTCTTTTGACGCGAGAGCAGCATCACTATATCCACGCCCAACAAACCACAGTTTGAAGGAAGCACTTGCCACCTCCTCTTCAGTCGGACCATTTTTCGTGTAAAGCCCAAGGCTAAACGCATCAGAGAACTTCATGAGCATCCACCTCCCTATAGAAAATCTACTAAAGACCCATAGCAACAGCCCTAGTGTTATGAAACGAATTATACCCAACACTGATTTTGATGCCATATTCATACCAAAGTGAAGGGGTTTCACAGTAGACCAGAATGCCTCCCTCTTTTCAATTTGCTGAGCAGTTTCATTGACCCCCGGTATACCCTCAGGATTCTCAGTTAAACATGACACCATTCTCTCAACTGCAATTTTATCCAATGATGGAAACACCACACTCCAAAACCCAATCTCTTTTTGGCGTTCCACAATAGATTCCTTGGGAGGCGGACCAGGAATCTGATGTTAATATAACAGTAGAATTGAATTAGCTTACATGGTCAATATACATATAAATGGTAACACAAATACAAAGAAGGGGAAAAAAATGATACCATGGGCTGAGGTGTTTGAGGTCTATAACGTTGCAACTCCTGCAATTTGTCCTTGTTAGCCATGGCAAGAACCAAAGTCTCGTAGCTTCCTAGGTTCAGCACGAGTCTTTTGTCGGATTCCATACTTAGGTAAGCCTCCACACGATTAGGAGCAGCGGGTGAAACCCACTGCCTTGAATTGAACATCATGCCTAATACAGCAGGAACCGAATCGTACCCACAGGCAGAAATGATCAGAGAACCCTTCTTCGCAGCCTTTTCATGGTAAGAAGCTTCCATTCTCTCTACAAACTCCATTTCTCCGGTGATATCTAGGTAATCGCAGCCGGCATCGACACAAGCCGCCACGACGGGCTCGCCGTAGAGATGGAAAGGGCCAACGCAGTTGAGAATGATCTTTGCCTGGGAGGCGACCCGGCGAAGGGAAGAGGGGTCGGTGGTGTCGGCGGTGAGGATGGGGATTTGTGGCGGCGGGTTGGGATGGGAGGCCCATTGCAGAGCTTTGGCTACTTTGGATGGGGATCGGCCTACTAAAGCGAGGGATTTCAATGGAGATGACGGAACATTGAGAAACTTGAGAGCTTCCCGTACAACGTATTTGCCGGTAAACCCAGAGGCTCCGAAGATAGCGATGTCGTAGGTGGCGGCGCGATGTTGTTCCTCCATTGAGAGTGAATCTTTTATTCTCGTAATTGTGTGTTTTATACAGTCTTGGATATTTATTTATACATCTCTGATCTTCTGCCATATATGCATGTGGGTGTGGAACTGTTGCCCAGAACCACGCCCGCCACATGCTAAAGAAAATTGAAAACATGGCTGACGCCCGCCGGCCCGCCGCCCGCCCTAACTAGCTTGCCCCGCATGCATTTTAAAAGTGTTTTCCAAAAATGAGCCTTCAATCAAGACTAGAAAACTGCATTTCTACAAACATATATAATATATTGCTCTGTGGTTGAAAATTATATTGAAAACTAAAAAGCATTTTCAATTCCTAGCCGCTATTCAGTTGGGTTACCATTTTCAGATGTTTTGTCTGGCGGGAGTGTGGGGTCCTTGTGGTGGGAGATTCAATATTTGGGAAAAAGATATAAGACATATATAAGGCTGGCACCTCATACTGCATATACTGCATGCTGTCACCTCTTTAATAAGACATTTATAAGATATAATAGCGAATCATACTGCATGCTGTCACCTCATTAATTATTTATAAATTATTATAATTTTAAGGATTTATTTTAATTACAAAAATAATATTTATGTACTTTAAATCATAAGAACAATCATCGAATCTCTTCTCTCCATCTATAATTTTCGAAAAATAATTCACTTTTTACAAAACATTTTAATTTTATGGTGTTTGGCTTGAAATAAAAAAAAAAACTATATTTTTTTGTTTGGCTAAAAGTAATAAAAATTATATATTTTTATTTAATTCATTTTTTAAAACATAAACATAAATTTATTAAAAACTTATAAAATATTAATTATTTTAATAATGATAATAATTATTATTTATATTAAATTAAAATTACAATTTAAAATTTATACTGATAATAGTCAAAGATTAATAATAATTTTAATAAAAAATATTTAAATAAGTAATTTTTTTACTTATAACTTATTACAATAAAAATAAATACATATATTAATAAATATAATCATTCTTGATTAAATAAATTGAAGAAAAATTATTTTTGGGATGTGGTTAAGTCCGACCTAGATTTCTATTGTTTGATATGTTGGAAATTTATATAGTAATGGAAATTAATAATTCAGATGGACTACCATGAAAGCTTAAATAATATTTGGAGTTGTAGAGTTATAAATATTATTTTAATTTGGTAGAAAGTAAATTGAAAAATATGAATATTTAGTACGGTTGAATAGTATTCAGTTTGATATGCGCAATTTGTTGGTTCTTATGATTCGTTGGTATCAACGAATCGTCAATTTTTAATGAATCCTTATTTTTAATCAAATCAATTGGTTGTATTAAATTGTGCTTAAACGAATTGTTGCTGAACGATTTGATAATACACTTCGTGCGTAACGAATAATTGTCGTTGGTTAAACGATTTTTTAATTTTTGCATGGTTGGTTCACCAAATTGGTGGAGATTAAGCATGCGTGTAACGATTTGTTATAACCTCTCAATTCATTGGTTTGGTTTCTGTTGCATGCGTCTAAGTATAAATATATATTATTTATTTATTATTTTGCATGGTAACATACATGCAATTATAAATATATATATATATATATATATATATATATATATATATATATATATATATATATATATATATGTTTACTTTATAATTTTTAAGTAAAAATTTCGAAAGACATTTTATGTTAAAATAAGTAGATTTTATTCACAATCTTAGTTGTAAATACGTGTTAATCTGATGAGTTAGATAGGTATGAAATTTAGTATATCATGTTCAACACCAGAATTTTAAATGTTTGGATTAAATTGATCATTCTTATGAGAATCATCTTCACATTCTTAAATTATATGATATTTTTTATAAAAAAAATGATATTTAAAAAAAATACAATATATGAAAACATCTCTTTAATAAAGTACCTCAAAGTTTTTATTTTTATTTTTTTTGAAAACAACCAATGCAACATTTATTATAGATAAGCTAAAATAGAGTCAGGAATGACAGAGTCCCAATACATAATAGTAGTCTGATTAAATACTGTAGAAGATAAAGAATGAGCTAAATAATTGTCTGATCTAGGAATAAACTTGATTAAACAGTAATCAAAAGAGGATATGTAAGATCTGCAGCTATCAATAGCATAGTCGATATATGAATGAACAGAGCAATTGCGGACGATAGATAATATTGTAGTGTTAAACAATCCGTGAGTAGCTCTATAGACCGTTCTCTGCGATCCCTTAACCATGATAAGGCTTCTTTGCATGCGAATGTCTCATAAGTGGAGAGAAGCAATCCGGTAGAGGAGCATCGAAAGCCAAAACATACCTCCCATTTCCATCGAGGATGACCGCTCCAACCGTGGCCTTGTTCATTGCGTGGTGGAAATACCTCAAAGTTTAATTATTGTGAATCATAAAAGATAATAGACCAGAGAATATGAATTACAGAGTAGTTAATTTCTAAGTTATAATTTTTTTATTGAAGATTAAAAGTAATACACTAACCAAAGACTCAATACTCTTATAACAAAAAGTAAAATTGTTCACTCCAAACATCTCTACACAAATGACTTTTGCTCATTACACACAATGAGCTCCATCTAACGATATTATTTGCAATCCCAAGCTAAAAACATAGACATCTATACTACTTCAAAATTCAACTAGGAATATCAAATACGCCTTACTTAAAAGAACAACAAAGTAAAAGAAAAAAAAAAACATTTGTAATAGGCCAGGACTAAATTAAATTTTCTTTGAGAAAGTTTCTTTCGAAATGACATCAAATGATATTCCATTCTGTTGGAGTCGCTGTTGAAGATCTGTGTGACCAAATATAATTCCACCAGTGAAAACACCACCTTTAGGCAAGTCATGACGCTGATTCAACAATACAAGAGCCGATTGAATTAGAGTAATGGGAGTTGTTGAATAACCTATTTCAGGTCCCGTTACTCTTGTAATAATTTTCATATCGGGTTTTGTGTTGCCTTTTGATGCAAGAGAGGCGTCACTATATCCATGCCCAATACACCACCGTTTGAAAGAAACACTAGCCACCTCTTCTTCGGTTGGACCACCATTACTGAACAATCCAAGGCTAAACACAGGACGAAACCTCATGAGCAGCCACCTTCCAATACAAAATCTACCTAGGAGCCATATCAACATCCCTATTATTATGTAACGAATTACACCCAGAAAAGATTTTGATGTCCAATTTGTAGCAAAGTGAGCTGGTTTCACGGTAGACCAGAATGATTGCTTCTTTTCAATTTGTTGAGCACTTTCATTAACACCTGGTGCACCCTTGGGATTTTCAGTCAAAAACCAAAGTGTTTTCTGGACAACAGGGACTTCCAATGACGATGGAAACCTCACAGCCCAAAGCCCAATCTCCTTTTTGTACTCCAAAATTTGTCCTTTGGGAAGAGGGCCAGGAATCTGACATTACAAGAATAGAAGAGTTAAGATTAAGCACTAAATTATAGTTTATATTAAAGATGTAACTTTATTTCTTTATACCATTAGACACACATTTTCTGAGATTAAGCCCTTCACCTGTCTTTACTTAACAATTCTCCCTCCTAACACTACCAATCTTAACTGCTCTTGCAGGGAGTTGAACCCTTCACTATGATATCACTTGATCAAACATTTACTACGCGAAAAACTATAAATGAGAGGAAAGACCTAACTTTATTTTCATGCACTACTGTATTCCACACATTTTTAAGAGACAAATTGCTAAATTTGTCCTTCACCAATTTCTACTTAACAATTTTTCTAACCACCACCAATTGTTAGACTTGACATTTTATCGGCCTCTGCCCCAACCAGAAGCAAGTATATGAAAGATGATAGCAAATTGAAAATAGAAAGGAGAGATGTAAAAAAAGGATTATTACCGCGGGGAGTGGCCTTGTAGGTTTGGAACGACGGAGCTGCTGCAAATTGTCGTCGTTAGCCACCTCGTGAACCAAGGAATCGAAGCTTGTTTGGTTGAACACAACCCTTTTGTTAGATTCCAAACTCAGGTACTCCTCAACACGGTTCGGAGCCGCCGGCGAAACCCACTGTCGGGAATTGAAAATCATGGCCAATTCTGCAACAAGCGCATCGTACCCACAAGCACAAACCACCAAAGAATTATTCGCCGCGGCTTTCTCCTGGTAATACGCTTCTATTCTTTCCACAAACTCCACTTCGCCGGTAATGTCCAAGTAATCGCAGCCGGCATCGACACAAGCCGCCACGACGGGCTCGCCGTACAGGTGGAAAGGGCCCGCGCAATTGAGAACGATCTTGGCCTGCGAGGCAATCCGGCGAAGGGAAGAGGGGTCGCCGGCCGAGATATCGGCGGTGAGGATAGGGATTTGCGGCGGCGGTGGGTTAGGATGGGAGGCCCATTGAAGAGCTTGAGCTACTTTAGATGGATTACGACCCACCAAAGCAAGGGACTTCAATGGAGAGGATGGAACGTTTAAGAACTTAAGTGCCTCCCGGATAACATACTTGCCTGTGAAACCAGAGGCTCCGAAGATTATAATGTCGTAGGTGGTGGCGTCACGTTGTTCTGCCATTGTATTGCTAATCAAACCTTTCTTCAAGTAGTTTATCTCTTTTTTCGTAAGCCAAGGCCAAACAACATTATATATACTGATCAGATGTATAGTAGTGACTATAAATATATATATCTTCCATTATTATATTGGTGTCATATTTAAAACGTGGAATTGTAGAGCTCCACTTACGCCGTACGACAACGAAAAATAGGTTCTGGAAACAAGTGCAGCCAGCAGCCTCCATGTTCGAGAAGGGATATGGATAGAAATGGGTAGATTATATTTTTATTAGAGGTTTAATGTGTGCACTTACACAATGTTGTATACTTGTGTACGTACACTTTTAAAATGTACAGTTGTGTGTTGCTAGTGGTAAAGGTGGTCATTTTGTTGGGTAATGTTATGCATGTTGTGCTAGTATGAGTGAGGTATGTGTTCAGGTTGTTTTTGTAAAAGTTTGGCGAAATGAAATGTACAATCAGAGAGTTATCAGTGTACTACCTTCGGTATATGAATGCACAATCAAAGCAATCTAAATATATGGCGCCTATTATCATATGAATGCACATGATTGGTACTACTACTTATATATACGGCACAGTTACGAAATTGCACAGTTGGCCAAATCTAAGTCATTGATCTCAAGTATCCAATGGATCAGATCTATCCACACAGACTCTATAACATAGTGGATGCACGAGAGCAGTAGCATATATATATATATATATATATATATATATATATATATATATATATATATATATATATATATATATATATATATATATATATATCGCGTTCATGTGCAAACTGTCCGCCCAGAAGAGAACTGAAAATCATCCCGCGCGCCATGTGTCCAAATCTATGTGCACCTAATGTTATAAGTAGGTGCATCTAGGTGCATGCATGAATGTTTGTAGGTGGTTTTCACGGGTACTAACTACCCGTTGAACTCCTTCTTCAGAACAAAAGCGATGTCAAACAGAACGAACTCAGATGAATGAATGTTATCATGTTAACAAGGCAAAATTACATGCACTTGTAAGTTGTAAGTAATTTTACTTGCACTTTTTACTTGCAAAGGTACACTAACTACTTACAGATATAACACATTACATGTCGCGCTTTAAATGGTTCTCAGTTCTCTCTTGGACGATCGTTCGCATGAGGGTGCGCATATATATATATATATATATATATATATATATATATATATATATATATATATATATATATATGTATGGGGTATCCTTTCAAAAAAATATATACGGGGTATCAAATGCAGTCAAAGTAGTGTGTCCGAAAGCAAAACTTTTATCATTGTATAATTAAGTACTGGAAAGTGGAAATTAAAAAATAAGGCAAAATCGTAATGCAGCACATGTCTACATCCCGAGTCCCGACGTATGGCTCCGTGCATGTATGCATGACAAACATCTTCCTAGCTGCCTCTCCGACTTTTCTAGAGCCACCTTTTTTTTTAAAAAAAACATTCTATAATATAGAGTCAAGTTTGGGCCAATGCGAATCACTCTTAAACAGTATATGGCGTCTAATTGAGATGTGAGCTCAGAACTTATGAGTAAAAAATTGTAATTTCACGAGAGAGAAATGATGTGAAATAAACTCATAATTTTATGAGATTTAGGTTTATCATAAAATGAGTATAAATGTGTGAAATGAGATAAAAAAAATACTAATTTTATTATACGAAACACTATGGCTTCTAGGTAGTTAGTACCATTTTAGCCGGGCGAGCTAAAAAGTCCTCCAAAATATAAGACATAAAATTCAAAGAAAAAAAATAAAAATTATAAAAAAATTATAAAAAAAAAAAAAAAAAAGAGAATGAGAGATTTGCAGTAGGCGCTAGGCGGGTGCCAAAAAAATAGTGACAGACTTGCAGTTTGACAATTTTAATGAGGTTGTTTTTAACATTCAATCAAATAACACATCCAAATAAATGAAATAATGATAATTCATAAGTCATAACATCAAAACAATATTAAAAATTAAAAATACTCAAATATGAAATACTCAAATACTTCAATCATTCAAAGATTCAAAGTATCAAACTAGTCTACGGGTGTATATATGTATGCACACACACATATATAATGAAAAGAAATTAGCAAGGCCGAGCTGATCGGGTTAACTCGACTGAAATGGACAAGTTAACTCGGCTAAGTTAGACGCCTAGGCGGCCAAGTCGGCCGAATTAGGTGCTAGGCGGACACCTAGGCAGCCGGTCACCTAGGCGGGCGCCAAGGGGGAAAATCACCACGGTCTAGGGGCGCCTAGACCGATTTTTACAACAGTGGGAGAGAAATTCACATATACTATCTCCAAGATGGAAAGAAATGAAAATGGGTAGAGGTCAAAGGCTAAGACCATATGTAGAACTAGAGGCAGTTATTATGGATGCAGCCATGCAGGTGACTAATTCGTGCTGGTTCAAGTAAGCATGTTTTGTCTCCGATTAACCAAAACCTAATAATTGTGAGTAGGTGTGAGGCAAAATCAATAGCATGGGGAGAAGTTGTGGAGGAAGAGACATGTAATGTCTAGGGCATGTCCTAGTGCGGGTAGCATAGGGTGTTTTGCCCTAGCAAACCATGCAAACCCAACCCCTATAGCTAGCAAGGTCGTCAGAGCTATGGAGAGGCATGGGGTATAGATTTGGTGAGGTAGAAAGTTCTAACTTGGAATCTCTAAGGATCTAGAGAGTGATTAGAGCTTATTGGGTTGACGACAAAGATCAAGGATGACTACAAAACAACAAGGAAAGTTCAGTTGTGGGTGGTGAGTGTAGAGATTGAGACGTAAGGTGGTGAGGTCAGTGTCTACTACTTCCTCTAATTGTCTAGACAACGAGAAGAAGTGAGAGACTCGTGATAGAGGAATGACAATCGTTATGTTGTACATTCGTATGCATGTATGGTGCATCCGGATGCAAAAACGACGTCATTTTGACATCTAACCTAAAAAAAAAAAAATCAGAATTACATAATTACACATCCATAATTTCATAACTATACATCCAGAATTACATAACTACACATTTATAATTTCATAACTATAAATCCAGAATTGCATAACTACACATCCATAACTTCATAACTATACATCCAGAATTGCATAACTACACATCCATAACTTCATAACTATAAATCCAGAATTGCATAACTACACATCCATAATTTCATAACTATACATCCAAAATTGCATAATTATACATCCAAAATTGCATAACTATACATTCAAAATTTCATAACTAAAAATCCAGAATGAATGAACTAAAAAATGAATAACATAATGTTGTTGCTGAGAATCGAAACTGATTTTTTTCTAAGTAGGACGCGCGTTTTGATGTAAAACGGCGACGTTTTTGCATCCGGATGCACCATGCATGATGCATACGGATGCACAGCATAATTTGCCAAGAAATGGGGCCTGAGTTCAAGGTCAATTAATTGGGTCCAGTGAATAATTATAACCCATTGGCAAGGATTTTGAGTCTAAATAGGAAAAGAATAATGTTAATTGGGCTGAGCAGCAGAGTTAAAGGCGCAGAGGTGCAAATGTTAGAGGGAAAGGGTCCAAAATGGGACAATGTAGGACATTTAAGGGTTAAGATGCAATATTGAGGAGATGGAGTATGAAGTGAGACATGGGCTGGAGTCCAAGGGTAAGGATGCAAATATTTTGGAGTTAGGGCAGGAGTGAGTTAAAACAATCGTTATGCTATGGACTCGTGTCCAGCATGGGTAACAATGCCGTTAGGCACTGTTATCTTTTTTTTTTTTTTTTTTTAAATTCAGACTGCTTTGTTATAGGAGTATATATTCATAATTTTATTACTATATGTTCATAATTGTAAGTTCATAATGTCAGAACTCTATGTTCATAATTCCATAACTGTACAATCATACTTTCATAACTGTACATTCATAATTCCGTAACTGTACATTCATAATTCAATAACTGTAACTTCATAATTTTCGAAGCTATGTTTACAATTTTAGAGCTCTATGTTCATAATTTTATCACTATATGTTCATATTGTAAGTTCATAATGTCAGAGCTCTATGTTCATAATTTCATAACTGTACATTCATAATTGCATAACTGTACATTCATAATTCCATAACTGTACATTCGTAATTCAATAACTATAAAATCATAATTTTCAAAGTTCGATGTTCACAATTTTAGAGCTCTATGTTCATAATTTTATCACTATATGTTCATAATTGTAAGTTCATAATGTCAGAGCTCTGTGTTCATAATTTTATAACTTACATTCATAATTCCATAACTGTACATTCATAATTCCATAATTGTACATTCATAATGGCACAAACGAATAACGCCGTTAATGGCGTTAACGGCGTTAACGGCGAGACAACTAAATTTTTTTTAAAAAAAAAATTGAAATGACGCGTTTTCTTTAAAAACGACGTCATTTTGAACTCGTATCCATAATGCATTGTGGACATGAGTCCACTGCATAATTTGCGGAGTTAAAATTAAGGGGGTAATGGTGCAAAATGAGGAGGGCGGGGTGACAAAGCATCCCTCCCATAGTCGTAGCCAACAAGGCACCTCACGGACAACCGATTACCATAGCGTAACCTAGTGTAGCCATGTGGGGCCAATTGATGCAACATTGCCCTTGAGCAAGGTCAGTTTCTATCCATACGTGACTAGGTGGCCACATATATGGCTAATCAGTTGTGGATGTGAGCACGAGCATGGCTGCTTAACTACAAGCCATGCAAGCTAGCTAGAGGGTAGGGGAAATTTATATCATGAACCCTGGATTGAAACGACTTCGTTTTGATCTTTAGATTTTAACAGCTTCTGCAGTTTGCTCATTTCTCATGTTTTCACACAACTACTAATCTATTTCAGGTACATAATTCACTCTTAAGGTACAGAATTTCATAACACAAGACACAAAAAATTACAACACAAGACGTATACACATGTTATATATTACCAGTGTTGCAAAAATCGTGCTAGGCGGAGGACGGTCGCCCGCCTAGGCGCCGACTAAGGCGCCTAGTTGGCCAATTAGCTATTGTTCTCTTTTTTTTTTTCTTTTTTTTTTAACGTGTTATTTTGCTTAAAACGACGTCGTTTTTGTGCGAAATAACCATAAATTGTTCAAACCTTATATGTTTTTAGGTTAATATTTAATATTTTAATATTAACTGCGAAGTATTAAAGTATTAAATAGTTTATAATTATCAAGTCTTAAAAAAACACACACACCCACCCCCACCCCCCCCCCCTCCCCCGCGCTTAGCGATTTTTTCAACCATGATATTTACTTATTTTCAAATCTGATTTAGATAGAGAATTTATGTTCTATAGGTACAAAATTTCACAACACTAGACATAAATTCATAACATAAGACACATAATATGTTATGTGTTACACAGCTATTAATCTATTCCAAGTATAGAATTCATACTATTAAGGTACACAATTCATGAAGCAAGAAACAGAACTCACCATATAAGACACATATATATGTTATATATTTACTTATTTTTAAATATGATTTAGGTAACTTGAATTGAACAACCAAATGGTCTCCGTCAAAATTAAACAAATTGTTGTTCAAAAACGATATCATATAAGACCACTGTGGACCCAATCCAAGGTATAAGCGTCCCGAGGGTGGTGGTTGGCTATTGTAGCCTATTGTTCAAATGTGTGTGCGGTGAGGAAGAGTGAGAAAATGAGATCCACTCATCATGCTAGAAGCCTAGGAGTCTGGGACCTCAAACACTATAAACACAATCATTATTGTATAGATCATGGCTCACATCAGTGTGAATCACGGTCTAGAAACACATAAAGTACATTATTTTAAATTATAAAATACATTATTCTAACTTATAAAATATATTATTTTATTCCATGAGTTTTATTATTCTAACACAAAGTATATTATACATTACTCTAACTTATAAAATACATTATTCTAAAACATAAAGTACATTATTCTAACTCATAAAATACATTATCTTATCCCATAAATTTCATTATTCTAACACATAAAATACATTATTTTAACACATAAATTACATTATTCTAATTCATAAAATACATTATCATACTCCAAAATGTTTATTATTCTAACATGCACGTGGAACAAAAAAAATTTTCATTTTAACATAAAAATGATGGCGTTTTAGACCATCATCCAAATGTATAATTTGTCCTATAAACGGGGGTCGTTCGATGTTTTCAAACATCATCAAGTTCACTGAAATTATTCAATCCTTTTATATTGGGTTTCTCTTCAAAACAAGGCTATCTTTTATTTAAGATTGGACCTATTTTTGGGCAAATTATGCTGTGCATGGTGCATACGGATGCAAAAACGACGTCATTTTTATTAAAAACGGGCGTCTCCCCTTAAAAAAAAATTCAGGTTCGATTCCCAGCAACAACATATGAACTAAAATTCCAGAATCGATGAACTATAATTCCAAAATCTAATCTATGAACTAAAAATTTCAGAATGAATGAACTAAAATTCCAGAATCTATGAACTAAAATTTCAGAATCGATGAACTATAATTCCAGAATCAATGAACTAAAATTCCATAATCTATGAACTAAAATTCCAGAATGAATGAACAACATAATGCTGTTGCTGGGAATCGAACCTGAATTTTTTTTAAAGAGGAGACGCGCGTTTTTAATAAAACGATGTCGTGCATACGGATGCACAGCATAACTACTCCTATTCTTGTATCCCAAGGCTCAATCTCTTGCCCATCATTTTAATATTATTTTATTACTTACCAAGACGGCATTTGCGGCCCGGGGCTATCTTTTATTTAATATTGGGTCTATTCTTGTAGAGTTCTACTACATAGACTCTCAAATTGTACTCCCTCATTTGTACTCCATGAGGTGGCAAACCAAGATTGATTATTTTTAACATGTTGGTCTACAGAAAAATGTCTACATCAAGAACATGTGAGAGGGAGTACAAATTGGAAGTATAAAATGTGAGTACACCAAGTATTTTCCATTCTTGTATCCCAAGTCACCACCGAATTGTAATTCTTTGGCAAGAGATATGAATTCTAATTAACCGAATTGCAATTCTTTAGGAAGGAGTATGAATTCTAATTCAACAATTGGATGGAATTGTAATTCAGTGGAATTGTAATTCCCTCTAACCAAACGGTGTAATTGTGACTTCCATAGAATTACAATTCAACTACAACCAAATTGCGGTGAACCAAACAGGTCATTGTTGTAGTCTCAAACTTAAAGGTCTTTAATACATCTGTTATCCACACACAGAGACACAAGCTTCTGAAGTTTCTGAATTATCAGTACAGAAATTATAGCCTCTGAATTAGTAGTGTAGATAGTGGTAAGGCTACATCTTAGTGGAGTCAATATCAATGCCTTCAAAACGTTGAGGAAAATCAAACCCAGCAGTAATTCTTTCTTTTCCAGAATGAAAGGGCATTCATAATGTTAAATGGATCCCATAAACTGGATAGTATGGCTTTCTGTGATTTATATGCAGTATTCGCATTCAGATAATTCCACTTCTCTGTACAAACATGCATTCACCATTATGCATAAAGGATGGAGACAAACCAACTTCTGTAAAAATCATATCAATAAACACCAAAAATACTGCTAAAGATTTGCAGATATTATTAGGCCTACAGTGGCTTAGAGAAACATTGATGTTTGTCTTAAGAGTACAACTAAAGGTGTCTCAGAGAACTTTCTTCGAAATGAAATCGAAAGACATCCCGTTCTGTTGGAGCCGTTGTTGGAGATCTGTCGGGCCAAATATAATCCCGGGAGGGAAAACGCCACCTTTAGGCAAGTCACCACGGCGTGTCAAGAGAACTAGGGCACATTGAACGAGAACGATAGGAGTTGTCAAATAGCCAATCTCAGGTCCCATTACTCTGGTAGTAATTTCCATATCGGGTTTCTTGTTCCCTTGCGATGCAAGAGAAACGTCGCTATATCCATGCGAAACGAACCACATTTTGAAGGAAGCACTCGCCACCTCTTCTTCAGTTGGACCCTTCTTCCTGAACCACCCAAGGCTAAACACAGAAGGGAATTTCAAAAGCAGCCATCTCCCGAAGGAAAACTTACCAAAGAGCCCTATAAACATCCCGACTGTTATGAAACGAGCCACACCCAGCAGAGATTTCGACGCTATCTTCACGCCAAAGTGAGCTGGTTTCACTACACGCCAGAATGCCTCCCGCTTTTCAATTTGTTGAGGGCTTTCATCAACACCTGGTATACCTCCAGGATTTTCAGTCAACCATGTAAGAGTTCTCCTAACTACAATCGAATCAGCTGATGGTAACTTCACAGCCCAAACCCCTAACTCTTTTTTGTGCTCCAATGTTGGTCCTTTGGGAGGTGGACCAGGAATCTAACATTAGCATATACCAGTACAAATCAATTTCAGAAGCAGATACATTTCCAATATATATAGGTTTAAACCTAAACCTGAGGGCCATCACCCCTGCTCTGGGGATTGTCCCCGGCTGAGATCTTTCCCCATTGAGGATTCAAACCCGGGGTTATTGCTAGGCACTACACGTCTACACCCACACTCGGGCTTTGGACCACTGAGCTATGCCTCGGGGACACATTTCCAGTATATATATATATATATATATATATATATATATATATATATATATATATATATATATATAGGGTTGAGTTCACATGAGGACCACAGTATATAGAGGACTGTGCTGACTGATTACGGATTTACGGGCACACAACAAATTAGTATCATGCACACAATTTAATACACAATGGCACACAAGAATACATGTAAATCTCTGATTTTGAACCCAGCTCTATTAATTAACAAACCTATGCACACAACATACAAACTATGGCACGCGATTAATTAGGCCATGCACATGACATACAGCTTAATGACACACGACTACACCAGTCCGCACAGTCTATCCTCATTTGAACTCAACTATATATATATATATATATATATATATATATATATATATATATATATATATATATACACACACAAGAACACAAGAAGGTGAAAAAATTATAGAAAGAGCAAACACAGTTGTACCTCTATTCAAGTACAATATCAGCTTACAGTATCAATATGAACAATTCAAGACTAGCATCCAGTTATGCTCAACTTCATCAATTGATTATGCAATTTTCATTTACTTGGCACAGAATAAAAGTTACCCAAAAAAAAAGTAAATAATTATCATCCATAAGTATAACCAGAGAGCAAAAAGAAGAATCAAATCAATGCTGAGAAAAATGAGATGGCCAGGAATCATACAGCGGGGCGAGGTCTTCTAGGTCTAGAACGTCGCAGCTCCTGCAATTTGCCAACATTAGCCACCCCATGAACGGCCGACTCGAAGGTTCCAAAGTTCCCGACAACCCTTTTGTCGGACTCCAAACTCAGGTACGCCTCCACACGATTCGGAGCCGCCGGCGAAACCCACTGCCTGGAATTGAACATCACGCCCAATTCGGCAGGAACAGAATCGTACCCACAAGCGGAAATGACCAAAGAGCCCTTCCCCGCCGCCTTTTCGTGGTAAGACGCCTCCGTTCTCTCCATAAACTCCGGCTCACCGCAGATATCAAGGTAATCGCATCCGGCATCGACGCAAGCCGCCACGACTGGCTCGCCATAGAAACGGAAAGGGCCGACGCAATTGAGAATTATCTTGGCCTGGGAGGCGATCCGGTGGAGGGAAGCGAGGTCGGTGATGTCTGCAGTGAGGATGGGAATTTCTGGCGGAGGGTTGGGGTGAGATGCCCATTGGAGAGCTTGGGCTACTTTGGATGGGCTTCGACCTGCCAAAGCGAGGGACTTCAATGGAGAGGACTGTACATTGAAGAACTTGAGGGCCTCCCGGATAACGTACTTGCCGGTGAAACCAGAGGCTCCGAAGATGACAATGTCGTAAGTTTGTTGTATTCCTTCCATTTTTGTCGCTTCTGTTCAGTACATCGAAGAACGGAAGAGAGGGGTCAGTGATATGTATATAGATGGATTCGAGACTCAAGTCCAAACATGGTTAGTAAAATATAGGTGGGATCTCGTTGAAAGAGAATCTCAACATAAAGGGCTTATGAGAATATAAGTATCATAATATTATATTTGTTGTAAATATAATGAATGTTACTTTATACAATAGAATTGAGAGAAGGCTAGAGATAATTATCAATCTTATATTATTCATCATTCACTCCAATATATATGATGGATAGTTGGATACCCTCAGATAGGATACCCAGTCAAATAGACATTTTCACAGTCAGGGTTCATAGTTCGACTATGTTTTTGGAAGAAGGGTGAATCTCAGTAGGCTGGTTCCGGTCCAAGTGCATGTTCTACGGCCGACTCGACTAGACGACCAGTGTAGGCCGTCGCAGGAGTCCCCACCGGGTGCCGTACTCAGAGGTCGTTAGAGAAGATTTGACGAAGATTCTTTCCAGCTTTGATGCGTGATTTACTTTTTCAGTATTAGGAATGAAATATGGCGGTTTAGGTAGCTTTTCTAAGTTCAAATTTGTTAACTTCTTATTTCTTTCCTTTTTTCAAGCTCAAATATGTTGTACAAATATCCCCATGAGGTCACATGGTAGGGATTCTAAATTCAGTTCTAGTGCAATCACTCTGTCTACATTTTCTCTCAATTTTACTTAAATATTTTTACTGTTGTTGGTCCGCCATCCGGCTACCCCATGGCCGTGAAACCAACAATATACATATACAGAATTTTAATATAATTATAAGTGTATAAATGACGAAAATATATTATCATGATTTCTCTAGTATGTCCACATTTATTTATTTATATTCTCATGAATTTTTTAGAGGTCACGTTTGTTAAATATGTACGCTATATATGTTTCGTCAAATATTCATTACCATACTTATTTCTCATTTATGTAACACAAGCTCTATTGTAATCATATTGGACATTGGGATTTGAGGGGTAATACATAGGAAAACCATTTTTACATTTGACCTAGGCTCCATTACTCCATTGTGAGAACGTTGTCCCAAATGTTTCCACAATACAAAAGTAAAAGTCTTTAATTTCTTAAACTTGTTTGACTTGTACGTGATACAAAAAAGTATGGATGCCTGAAGCTTTGAGCTTAGGAGGCATGGCTAAAAGGACAGCATATTGATTAATGTTCAAGCGGAATCTGATGCAAAGCTTGTGATTGATAGGTTAAAATCTGATGCTAATTTTTCTTCCTTTGATTTAATTATTAAAAATATTTAAAAAATAACTAAGTTTTTTATTAACATGCTTTTTATTCGTAAAATGATTTCCGAAAATGGCAAATCAGTTCTTGTTAGGGTGTCATTTCTAAATCAGATCGTATCGAATGGATATTGTTAGCTCACTTCTTGCTAAGGATGACATTTCTAGGTCAAGTCGTATCGAATGGATGTTGTTTCATTCCTTGTTTTGTTTGATGTTATGGTGGTGAATAATACCTAGTTTAATTTAATAATATTTCTCGTTTTTATCAAAAAATATGAATGCTAGTCATTATTCTAGACTTTCTCTAAATAACATTTTCTAATAACTTTAGTTATAATACATTTTTATATGATTACATTTACATCCGAAATTTACTAGAATTACTTTTTCATTTCTTACTCATTTTAATGCCACCCCAATCCTTTGTATTTTGCAAGGCCTCATTAGTTTCTATAAATGAGATAAAAGCGGAGGTACAATGTACATGTAACATCTACATTACAACCAGAATTGAAACATGAGAATTGCAATTCTCCATAATGGAGTCATTTACAAAGAACTTAGCTTAATAGCTTCCCTTTTCGTATATTATATATAACACGATGAGATTAAGGTCTTCAAATTTCCCAGATTTTACCAAACTTTTCTCCGGCCTATAAGCCCAACAATGGTCTTCCAAAGACCAACACTTCCTATATTAGATAGCCCAATGACCGCTGGGCTACAAGCTGCAATTGTCCAATAACCAGCTCGAATCTCATCTCTTAACTGTTCTCTCTCCCATGCACAATACCCATCAAAGAACCTAAAACTATCCACCCCAACAACTTCCCTCTTCACCATTTCTGCAGCACACCCCACAGTCTCTTTAGTCCCATAGTACAATCCTTTCATCACTTCATCCAAAACCCCACTCTTCCCAACCCCATTGTTATCTTCCCCCTCCTCCTCCACCAAGAACACCCCTTCTTCCAACGGCCCCCCGAAGAACAAGGGGCGGTTGGAGAACGTGCCGGCGACGTCCAACGCCGATGACCTCATCTCCTTGATTGACATGAGGGAGGGGCGGTTGAGGATGATCCCTGTGATGGGGCCTACTGCCCCCACCGACAGTAACAGAATCACGGTTCGTTCGAAGATGTGGACCCCGTCCAGCTTCTCCGTCGCTACCAGCAAGCACCCTTTTTCCGGTTCGTGGATCTTGTGTGCCCATTTCTCGCCGATGGTGATGATCGGCGCCTGATCTTTTTGATCGGACCTCAGTACGCCTTCTCCGGCCACTAATCTCGCACGAAAACCTCGCCAATCACCATCGACCACACTTGCTCTCTCCTCATCTTTTGCCGAATCTCCTAAACAACCTGTTTGATAGAACTTATTTTAGAGCTTATAGCTTATTTTAAACTACATAAGATCGGAGATTTAATTTGGAAGGAGCACTTACATTTTAGAGACAGCGGGGTTGAAGATTTCTTGAAATGGAGATGGGAGAACGGCCGTGTTCTTGTGGAGGGGAATTTTGCTGGGATCAGAGGGAAGGCTTCTGTGGTTTTGGCAAAGGAATTTGAAGAGAGAAAGCAAACCTCCATGAGTGAATTGAAGAATTAATGTCGCCAAACTTGACTTGATCCAAGATTGAAATGGACACCAATACACTATCCAAGTAGTATATAAGGAAGTTTATGTTTGCGGTGAGATTGAATGTGCACCACAAGTTACGTGCAGTATGGGCCAATGGATATGACTTTCCACGTCAGAAAAGCAGAGGAGGAACTCAAAAATTGCAGCCCAACCGATGCCCACACCTCGGTCCCACCGGATTATGGATGGATAAATTATAGTGATTCAAATCAATAAAAGTTAAGCACTATTGGGTAACATAATTAATTTATCAGTCAATTTTGATTTATTTGACTTGGTTAAATAATTAGCTGTTGACTTGATTAAATAATCAATATGAGTATTTAATTAATTAGCTATGTATAACAGCTTATTGCTTTAAAATACTAAAATTTAAAAAGCTGCTAACAACTAACAGCTAATTTACCAAACATTTTTTTTACAATAAGTTAATGTTATCAACTTGTCAAACCCACTAATCCAATCAACTAACAGTTTTTTTTAAAAAATATTATTGACCATGTTACATGTAGTATTAGTTAACAGTTATAAACTAACAACTATTTACCAAACACCGTTTAAATTTTTGCTTACCACACATAATAGATTTTTTTTTTCATTTTAAGAGATTATTTCTACACTGCTATTAATGAGACTCAATTCGTGTTTTATGTGACAAACTTCACTTTTTATAATCACTTGACCTGTCCATATAGACCATGCTCAAATCTAGTTGGATGGATAAGAAGTTGCAATCGCTAAGGCTACACATGTGGTAGCTGGCAGGGCTGGAAGCTTTTGTGCTTTATTCATGATGTGTTAATACTCCAACCACTGAAAAATAGGGATATATTTTATTAAAGTCATTCATGATGTGGCATAACCTTTTTCCCTTCAAACTCAATAAAGTCAGTGGGATACCCTCAGGTTTCAATACGTATTGATCGATGCCTTAGCAAATTGAAGAATTATATAAAATTATATTCCATACCAGGACTATGTGGTCCAATGGTATTCGGGTTGGACTTTCATTTGGAAGATTATAAGTTTGAGCCTCAGTGGAGGCGTTATTGGTTATTGGTTCTTTGTGTTTCAATAGGTTGAGAAAGTATATGAACAGATACTACAATGTAATAGAGCCAGTAATTTTCAAAAAAAAATATTCCATACCAAAAAGACTAAGGAGATGTTTGGTTCATGGAAAATGTTTTTTAAAGGAAAATATTTTTTTTAAAGTGGAGGAAAATGTTGTTTTCTGGTGTTTTTGGTTCATGGAGGAAAATGAAGAACAAAATTTTTGGTTGGACCAAGGTTTTTGTTTAATCAAGGATTTTGTTTTCCATGAGAGATGAGAAGAAAAAGTGATATGGATCCTTGTTTTCTTTTTTTTTTTTTAAAAAAAAATTATATTACTCTTATTAATTTGTAGGGGCATATAGGTCTTTATACTTGTTATTCCTTACAATTCCAAATCTAACCAAACAATAGAATTAGTATTCCCAGTAATTCTTTTTCCACCAACCAAACAATGAAATTTATCTTCCTAGTAATTGTTTTTCCATGAAATTTTAATTATACTTTCCTTAAAATATTTTCCTCGAACCAAACGAGCCCTAAAGAGTATCTTGAAATTTTATTTTTAATCCTTCAAGTATTTTTGATTAGTTATTTTAGTCTCTAACTTTTATCATTCTAATATATCTCCTAATTTTTCAAATAAGTGGTGGTTTTAATTTCTAAAACAACAAAATTATTAGATTTCGTCTGGCTCTATTACAGCATGTTTGGTTCACAGAATGAATTTTGAGATAATAGGAATGCTATTCCATAAGGAATGGAATAGGCAAGGAATAGAATATGAATTGTATTCTATTGTTTGGTTCGCGGAAGGAATAGACTTTAAGAATTATATTACAGTGTTTGGTTGATTTAAGGAATAGAAATGAAATATGTTTTAAAAGACATAAATACCCTTATAAAAATATGTGATGGTGGCGGTGGTGCTAGTGGTGTTGGCGGTGGTACTGCTGAGTGGTGGTTCTGGTGCCGGCGGCGGCGGCGATGGTGGTGGTGGCGGTGGTGATGGTGGTGGCGGTGGTGGTGCTGGGGTGGTAGTGGTGGTGGGGGCGGCAGTGGTGGTGGGGGCAGTGACGGTTGACGGTGACGGTTGTGGCAGTGGTGGTGGGGGCGGCGACGGTTGTGGCGGTGGCAGTGGTGGGGGCGGCGGTGGTGGTCGGGGCGGCGGAGACGGTTGTGGCGATGGTGGTGGTGGCGGCGGCAGCAGCGGTGATGGTGATGGTGGTGGTGGCGGCGACGGCGACGGCGGTGATGGTGGTGGCGGCGGCGACGGTGGTGAAATAGGATAAATTTATATATATGATAAAAAAAATTAGGTTAAAGAAAGGGGTAAAAAAGGAAATAGATTCTAAAATCTATTCCTGAGCATTCAGTAATAGGCTAATACCGGGGGGGGGGGGGGGGGGGGAGGGGGCTTAGTAATAGCTATTACCTTGTTTGAGGTAATAGGCTATTACCAGGAGGTAATAGAAATGGTTACCAAACAAAGGAATATGCCTATTACTGGGAATGCTATGCCATTCCCGGCCTATTCCGTGAACCAAACGGGCCATTACATTGTAGTATCTGTTCATATACTTTCTCAACCTATTGAAACACAAAAAACCAATACTACTTTCTCAACCTACTGAAACACAAAAAACCAATACTACTTTCTCAACCTACTGAAACACAAAAAACCAATAACACCTCCACTGAGGCTCGAATTCATAATCTTCCAAATAAAAGTCTAACCCGAGTACCATTAAACCACATAGTCTTGAAATGTTAATATTTACTTAATATATATGTATTTTAATAATTTCTTATATTTCTTATTTATAATCATCTTCGGTTTTGTATTTTATATACAAAATATTGAATTTAATTTTAATAGATTTGTGTAAGGCGGAAAATGTAGATGATGTACCATAATTAAAGATAAAAAATTTAGAAAAAGATGTTGTCAATTTTTTGTTTTACATATGATTATATGAAATACTGAAACTAAAGAGTTTATTAAAAAAAAAAAAAAGATATTCATGTATTAAGTAAAGCTATAACATAGCTTAATGATTTGTTACTTCAAGACTAAAACTTCAATTCGTTTGAAAATGAAGTAAAGTATTTTTGGTTTTTGTTTGGACTAAATGAGTAGTATAAGATAATTAAAGGGCTAAAAACATAATTTTTCCTTTTTATATGTGAAGGTAGGTAGATTATACTTTGGTTTTTTGTTTGTCTTTTCTTGTTCTAAGGCCATTTTCAAGGAGACGTCATATCACCAAATCGTCAAAAATTTTGGCATAAAGCGGCAAAAAAAGGACTCCAATGGGACGGCAAAACACCAAATAATTTGGTGTCGATGAACAGTGCCGCGTCATATATGGCGCGGCACTGTTTATCCACGCCATTTTCTGGACTACTTTTAGATGATCAAAGTCTGATATGCTCTTAATCTCATTCACGGGACATACTACTGCAACCAATTCATTTACAAAATCTAGCACAAAGAACTCATTTCTTCTCCAAATTCAACGAAATCAAAGCCAAAATGTGTGTCAAGACGGCCCCGAGGTTCTGAGCCACAAGGGTCCGCGACTCCTGGTCCAAAACGACACGTAGCTGAGCCACAAGGGCCCGACCACTGCACAAAATCTTCTTAACGGGGCTTAACGAGACCCGCTCCTTGGTCCGCCAAAAACACGGCTCAGGGCAACGACCCTCTCCTAGGGCCGTCCCCTAGAGCCGGTCCTTCACGGTGCTAGTCAACAGCCTCCACTGAGGGCCGTTGGCTAGGCCCGTGATGCTTACTGGTGACACTGTCTGTGCACCAGTGGACTTCTTTTCATCTGCAATAAAAACCTCAAGCAATTCCAACACATCCAAAATATCAACAACACTTCATAACTCAACAATAGATCATTTAATTGCTCAAACACTTCAATAAACTAGCATTTTTACTCAAAAATAGACTTCACAGAGTCTAGAAATAGCTTCGGGAGTCCATGGATTATACCTCTTCTTGTTCTTCCTTCTTGTGTGGGTTTCAGCCTCCACTCTGCTCAAACACCACTCCATTCACCACCAAGACACCTCAAACAACAACACAAACCAAGCCTAATAAACCTCATAGATGGAAGGCAACATGGATGGAAACCTTAAGGAAAAGAGATGAAGGGATGAGATGAAAACTTAGGATCTTACTGTTATTTTGCTTCTTCTTGTAAATAAAAGCCCAGACTTGGTGAGGAGGCAAGGAAAAGAGAATCAAGAATGAGCAGATGAGATAATGAAGCTTATAAAGGGGTGAAAAATCCTAGGAAATTCTCTCATGATTGGTGGGTGGCAAAATGGTAATTTTTTGTTGATTCTATAAAGCATCAAACATAGATGGATTCTTGTGGTCAACCATGCTTCATGGAACAAAGTCTAAAATCATAATTTAAAATAGGTTTGGGGTCAAAAATGCATTTTTCCAAAAATACTTTCTAGATAACCACTCAGTTTAGGTTTCTCATATTTCTCCCGGTTTCACTTAGATTGACTTCTGGATCAAAAGCTTGGTACGTGATGTACCCGAAAATCTAGGATTTTAGATTTAAAATAAGTCCCGGCGTCGAATTTACTTAAAAGTGGCTCAAAATAATTTATTCAAACACCGATTTCATCGCAAAAAAATTTATAGAGTGAAAATGGCTATTTTGAAATTTCTTAAAAACGAATTCATAACATTAAATTTTGGGTTGTCACAATTAAGTACAGCTATAACATAGCTTAATGATTTGTTACTTCAAGACTATAACTTCAATTTGTTTGAAAATGAAGTAAAGTATTTTGGTTTTTGTTTGGACTAAATGAGTAGTATAAAATAATTAAGGGGCTAAAACATAATTTTTCCATTTATATGTGAAGGTAGGTAGATTATACTTTTAGTTTTTGTTTGTCTTTTCTTGTTTTAAGGAAATTGTACATGATGTTTAATGTATATTAGATTCTATTTTTGCCATTATAGTGTTTTCTCTCTAGCCTATGTCTAGGGTTCCGACCTTCTTCCTAGGATTTCCTTGGATTTTCGACAATTTTGGTTCATCT